ACCTCTCATGCTTGTTCTCTCTCTCATTCTCTGTCCCTCTCTCTCAAATAAATAAAATCTTTAAAAAAAGAGATTACTATGAACAATTATATGCCAACAAATTTGACAACCTTGAAGATAAGATAAATTCCTAGAAACATACAAACTACTAAGACTGAATCATGAAGAAACAGAAAATGTGAACAGAATAATTACTAGTAAGGAGATTGAATGTGTAAATAAAAAACCTTCCAGGGGTGCCTGGCTGACTCAGTTGGAGGAGTATGTGACTCCTAATCTCCCGGTGGTGAGTTTGAGCCCCACATGGGGTGTAGAGATTACCTAAATAAACAAAACTTAAAAACAAACAAAATCTTCCAACAAATAAAAGTTCAGGACCCAACAGCTTCACTGGTGAATTCTACCAAACATTCAAAGAATTAATACCAATCCTTCTTAAACTTCCAAAAAATAGAAGAGGGAAAAATCCCAAACTCATTTTACTAAGCCAGCATTATCCTAATACCAAAACCCAGGCAAGAATGCCAAATTACAAGCCAATATCTCTGATGAATATACATTCAAAAACCCTCAACAAAATATTAGCAAACCAAATTTAACAATATATTAAAAGGATCATACCCCATGATCAAATGGGATTTATTCCAGGGATGCAAGGATGGTTCAACATCTGCAAATCAATCAATGATTAAAATCATATGATCATCTCAGTTGATGCAGGAAAAGCATTTGATGAAATTCAACATCCATTTATGATAAAAAGTCTCAACATAATATAGAAAGGTATAGAAGGAATGCACCTCAACATAATAAAGGGCATAAATGACAAGCCCACAGATTACATCATATTCAATAATAAAAAGCTAAAAACTTTTCCTCTAAGATAGAGAACAAGGAAAGGATGTTCACTTTTGTCACTTCCACTCAGCATGGTTTTGGAAGTCATAACCATAGCAATTAGGCAGGAAAAAGAAATAAAATGCATCCAAATTGGAAAGGAAGAAGTAAAACTGTCACTACTTGCAGATGACATATTATATATAAAAAACACTAAAGAGGGGCACCTGGGTGGCTCAGCGTCTGCCTTCAGCTCAGGGCATGATCCCCAGGTCCTTGGGATTGAGCCCCTCATCAGGATCCCTGCTCAGTGAGGAGCCTGTTTCTCCCTTTCCTTCTGCTGCCTGTACTTTCTCTTGCTTTCTGTTAAATAAAGGAATAAAATCTAAAAAAAAAAAAGAAAGAAAAAAGAAAAAGAAAAGAAAACCTTAAAGATTCTACAAAAAAAACTATTAGAATAAAAAAATTCAGTAATGTTGCAGAATATAAAATCAATTTACAAAAACCTGTTGCATTTCTAAACATTAATAATGAACTATCAGAGGGGCACCTGGGTGGCTCAGTCATTAAGCGTCTGCCTTCAGCTCAGGTCATGATCCCGGGGTCCTGGGATTGAGCCCTGTGTCAGGCTCCCTGCTTATCAGGGAACCTACTTCTCCCTCTCCCACTCCCCCAGCTTGTGTTCCCTCTCCTGCTGTCTCTCTGTCAAATAAATAAATAAAAATATTTTTTAAAAATAATGAATTATCAGAGAAATTAAGAAAGCAATCCCATTTACAATTACATCAAAAAGAATAAAATGCCTAGGAATATATTTAACCAAGGAGATGAAAGACTTGAAGTTGAAAACTACAAGACATTAATAAAAGAGATTGACAAAGACACAAATAAATGGAAAGATATTATGTTCATGGATTGAAGAATTAATATTGTCAAAATGTTCATACTGCCCAAAGCAATCTATAGATTCAATGCCACCCCTATCAAAATTCCAATGGTATTTTTCAGATAAAGAAGAAATAATCCTAAAATGTATATGGAACCACAAAAGGCACTGAATAGCCAAGGCAATCTTGAGAAAGAAGAACAAAGCTGGAGGAATCACACTCCCTAATTTCAAACTGTATTACAGTTAGAGTAATCCAAACTGTATGGTATTGGCATAAAAAGACACATGAGTATAAAGAGCCCAGAAATAAACCCATGCATATTAGTCTATTACTGCATGGAACCAAGAATATATAACAAGGACAGCATCTTCAATAAATGGTGTTGGGAAAACTGGACAGCCACATCCAAAAGAATGAGACTGAATAAAAAGAATGAAATTTCAGGGAATCCAGAAAGGCCTCTTTAGCTAAGTTCTATATCCAATTCTTGCTTGTTTAATTCAGTGTCTGAAGGAATAAAAAGAATAGCCTGGAAAGGGAAATGGGAGTTACCAAAGTCATCTACTCTACTTTGGTTAAAACTAATAACAGCAAGGACTTTCACTTATTATTATGTACTAGGAACAGTTGTTCGTGTATTATCTTATTTAATCTTCCCAAGAATCCATGAAGTAGGCACTGTTATCTCCATTTAGAGAAAAGGAAATTGAGACTCATATTTAAGAAGTTAGAAAGAACATATAGTCATAGATCAAAGGAAGGAGCAAAATAAGAAAAACGCTAGAAAAACCAGGCAGCATCTCAATTCCTCCAGAATATTCTTCACAGTGACATTTTTTTTTTTTTTTTGAGAGGAGGTGGCGGGGAGGGGCAGAGGGAGTGGGAGAGAGAGAATCTTAAGCAGTCTCCATGGCCAGCGCAGAGCCTGATGCAGGGCTCGATCTCACAACCCTGAGATCATGACCTAAGCCAAAATTGAGTCAGACGCTTAACTGACTGAGCCACCCAGGAGCCCCAGAGTGGCATCATTATTATGCTGGAAATGAATTTACACATCTCACATACCTCTTAGTGTTGGTTCACAAACGCCTCAGGAGTTTTCCAGGTGCAACTTAAAATTGGCCCCTGTATTTATTGGGCAGGATGAGACTGAAGAAAGAGGCTGGCTCCTCCAAGTTGGTAGGTGGCAGATTTAATAAGCAAGGGAACTTTATGAGGGTTGTCTTGAGAAGCTACAAGATGAGTAGATCCCCAAATCCATCTAGCAAATCTTAGAAGTTTGTATGTGGAGGCCTTAACTGGGTTCAGTCGTGTATACCATCCAGATGGTCTCAGCACATCGCTATCTCAAGGCTATGTCCTTGGGGCAGCTTTGGGGAGTGGGGAAATCAAGTAGAACCCACATTCCAAGGATAGGGGAGAGGGTGAGGAGCTTCTAACTGCTGGGGTCTAGCTCACAGATCAACTGGTAGTCACATCTTCTTGATGACCTTCCCCCACCTAGACATTCCAGAGTTTTTTTAGTATCCACATCTAAAAGCTAAGTAGTAATAAAAATTGATCAGCACTTATCGACACTACTGTAGTACTAAATTAGCTTTTCTCTTTGAAGCAGACCCATCTGTTTTATTTTAAAGATTTGAGAGAGAGGAAGAGGGGTTGGGGGAGGGGCAGAGAGAGGGAGAGAAGCAGACTCCCCTCTGAGTGTGGAGCCTGAGGCAGGGCTCAATCCCATGAACCTGAGATCATGACCCAAGATGAAATCAGGAGTCAGATGCTCAACCAACTGAGCCACCCCAGCACCCCTATGTAGACCTGTCTTAACTCACCTCAAGCTTTTGAGTCAGACAGCCTGAAGGCCTATGCGCCTATACGTTAATGGCACTATATAGAGAATCTATCCCATAGGATTCAGACAAGGGCCAGAAAATTTTAGTTACAAATTACAGGTTTGTTTTTTTTTTAAAGATTTTATTTATTTATTTGAGAGTGAGAATGAGAGAGCATGAGAGGGGGAGGGTCAGAGGGAGAAGCAGACTCCCCGCCGAGCAAGGAGCCCGATGCGGGACTTGATCCCGGGACTCCAGGATCATGACCCGAGCCGAAGGCAGTCGCTCAACCAACTGAGCCACCCAGGCGCCCCCAGGTTTGTTTTTTTATTTTGAAAAAGATATACTAGACAAAAAACAACCAGGAATATCAATGACATGATATATATATAAATATAAATATATATACACACAAATATAGGAAATCACATGAAGAAAAAACATCCTACGATGTTTGAAACCAAGGCTGGGTTTGAACAAATTTCTGATGAACTACAACTAAAACTTTAAATGACTAGACAATATTAGGTAATGTTCAAGATATTATGGCCAGTCTTCTATATCCAATTTACAAAAGTCAGCAAAGGAGACTTCAAAACATGATCCCTGGTTGTTCTGGCAGTTTTTTGGCAATGATCTTGCTTCCTTATGAACAACTACTTTACTCAATCACTGTGTTGAGGTCTTCTTGTGTTAAGGAGTGTGATGAATAAAAGGATCGGTGAACCCTGGTGATAGAGAATGCAACAGCATAAAAATAGTCTGAAAATAACCAGAGGTAGTTACAGTACTGATACAAATGAATACATACTGAGGCTTAGTATTAGGAATTGTTATTGTACCACTTTTTAAAAAAGATTTATGGGGCGCCTGGGTGGCTCAGTCGTTCAGCATCTGCCTTGGGCTCAGGTCATGGTCCCAGGGTCCTGGGATCAAGCCCTGTGTGGGGCTCCCTGCTCTGCAGGCAACCTGCTTCTCCCTCTCCCACTCCCCCCTGCTTGTGTTCCCTCTCTCGTTGTGTCCCTCTCTGTCAAATAAATAAATACAAAATCTTAAAAAAAAAAAAAAGATTTATTTGAGAGAGGGAGTGCGAGAGAGCACAGAGGGGAGGGGCAGAAGAGGGAGCACGGAGCCTGATGCAGGGCTTAATCCAGGACCCTGAGATCATAAGCTTAAACGACTGACCCTCCCAGGTGCCCCAATGTACTGCTCTTTTATATATACAATAATCTCGGGTAAAATATCTGAGCATTTTGTAAGGTAAATGTCTAAAAGTTTTACTATAACGTGCCTTTTTCTGTTCTTGGTTCTACCTTTCTTCTTTGCCTATCCTTAAGGCTGCCAGTGAACACCCTCAGGAATTTCTTCATGTCTCAGGGTTTTGAAGACCACCCCACCCCCACCCTGAGGTTTGATGTTTTGAGGATTCACAGGATTCAGTATATCACTGTATCCATGACTATGATTTATTACAACAAAAGCATACAGAGTAAGAGCAAAGGAAAAGGTGCAAGGGACAAAGTCCAGGGGAATCCAAGCACAAGCTTCCAGAGTCCTCTGCTAGTGAAGTCACACAGGATATGCTTAATTCTCACAGCAACTAAGGTGTAACATGTGTGAAATGTCTTTCATGAAAGCTCATTAGAAATGCAGTGCCCAGGGTTATTATCATGGGCTAGCCACATAGGTATCTTCTGTTTAACATGTACCAAAATTCTAGACTCCCAGAAGGAAAGGTGTTCAGCACAAACCAGATTATACAAACACTTCAGGCATAGTGAGCAATTCATCAGTAATAGCAGAAGGAACCCTGTTGAAATCTAAATTCCTAGAAGCCAGGCAAGGACCAACTTTGTAAGCAAGCCTTTCAAAGGATAGCAGTCAGGCCTGTTATGTTTGCTCTTTTCTATACACTTAGTAACTATCCCACAGGAAAAATCAACATACTTTCACTTGCAAGAAGACTCTTCTAATTCAGAAACAAGCATTTAAAAAGACTATTATGTCTGCTGTCTGAGATATGGCTAATGCATTCATGTTAATAAACTGTCATAGCTGTATTTGATTTTCAAGAGTTTTACTGCAAAGAATGAAAATATATGAAAAACAAAGGAAAACTCAATTTGGTCTCAGTGAACTTGAAATCTTAGTACTTCAATAGCAGCAGAGCCTCTAAATGCCCGTATTACAACTGGCTAGAAATAGACTTCACATGACTACATATAATTAGGCAAAAACTAACAGTTGACAATCACTTGGCATTAACAGTTTGGACATGAACTTCAGAAGCAAAAGGTAAAGAAGGCATTATAACATCATGTTTATGAAGATAATTTTCTTCTGCTAGTATTTTGGGGATACAAGAAGAAACTTCCTTTTGTTGTTCTCGCCACTTGAGTATATTCTCTGCCAGTTCTTCTGTTTCAGTCACCAACATATCCATTTTTGCTAATGCCATGCTCTGTAGTGTTTGAAAGAAGGGGAAAATAGGAGAAATTACATGTCATTAATACATCATTATTATATCATAAATGGTTATGACAGCAAAATGGTTATGATACCAAAAGTTCACACCTGACCTTTTCTAGCCCCTTAATACAAAGGCTTCTTAAAATTGTGTTCTCCCCACTTATTACAGAACATGCTTTTTATTTATGAGTTTACCTCTCCTTTGTCTTCAATTATCATCTCAAAGATAACGACCCATAATCTATATTGTAAAACCTACCTGCTTCCTAAAATTCAGTCCCATATTTGTCTATTGAATATCTCCACCTGAATGTACATTCAGTATCTCAAACTTTATTTTAATTTTATTTATGATTTAATTGCAATTCAGCAATGATTGAAGATTTACTCTCTGTGGAAGGCATGTCAGAAAACAGTCATCAGCTTTTTGATTTCTTGATCCTACTCACCCTCAGGTCACCAAGGCTAGCTACTTCATTACTTTGGATGTGTCCCTTGTCCAAAGAGTGGACACATTCTAGAAATTTGACATCCCAAATCTCAAAGTTTACATAATCTTTTGTTTTCCTATGCTTTAAATCTTTTATCTGAATGCCTGTATTTATTCTCCAAGTTTCTCTGCCTTTGGTTCATTTGCCTAGTCCTCTAACCTACAGTTTATCAAACTTTAATGGGTGTAGGAATCACCTGAGGCCAAAGTGGAGTACCACTCTTCCCCAAAACGGCCAATGCTAATTTTCATGTCTTTCCTCACATTGCTGCTTTGGGCCAAACTATTCTTTCTGATGCAAATTTCACTGATTTTTCAAGATTCAGCTCACTACTAACCTCTACGTAAAACTTTACTGAAGTATTCTTACCCCCATTCTACTCCCAATTTCCCTAAAGTAGAAGCAATCCCTCCCTTTTCTTTGCTTAACAGACAGCATCTTCTTTATAATTCTCTGCTATATCCATTGCACAAAAATATTATAAAATAGAGAGTATCTCAGAGCTCACTAAACCTTGAGAATTTGAGGGCAGGGAGTAGTCGTATCTGTTTATCTCTCCTGATACCTATAGCATAACCCCTTGAACAATAAAGAGAACACATATTTATTAAATATTAGAATAAAACAATATAAAATGACTTCTAGAAAAGCTATAAAAAAGCCATCTTAATTTTAAAAAATAATTCATTTAGAATATTTACCATCAAAAAGTTAAACAAAGGGGCACCTGGGCGGCTCGGTTAAACGTCCAACTCTTGATTTTGGCTCAGGTCATAATCTCAGGGTTGTAAGATCAAACCCTGCCATCATGCTCTGCACTGGGTGTGGAGCCTGCTTAAGATTCTCTCTCTCTCTCTCTCTGCCCCTCCCGCCTTCTCCCTCTCTTAAAAAAAAAAAAAAAATTAAACAAAGAGATCACACATTTGAGATTCTAGTATAAAAGAACTAAAGACAGCCAAATGTAATGTGAAGTAGTTGAGACACTTAAATGCTACTGTTAATACTCACCATTTTCTTTAGATTTTCATCTAAATGTGGGATAGTTTTAATTGTTTCAAGATGGTTTTCTAATCTTTCAATGAAAGTTACTGCCAATTCCAGCAAATGTACCATGTCGCTAAAAGAGGGAGAAAAAAGTCAACTATTTTTTTTAGTTACTTTGTGTTCTCTTTTTTCTTTTCAATTAGGACTTTTAATACAAGATAAGAGAATTACAATCAACCCAGGGAGCCAATAATAACCTTTCTGCATTTATGGAAATACCAGTGATAAAAATGTCATTTTCTTTCACTTTAAGCAGAAACTAATTCATCATCCAAACAGAAAAAGAGAGACAACACTAATCATATCTGGTATCCAACCTAATATTAGACAAAACTTAATGTTAATCATTTTCTCATACAAGTAATTTCCCTAGATTAAATCTCATTCCATTTCCATCTATTCATTCTCCATGAAAGGTGAATATAATAAGGATAATGTACTTGACTGAAACTGCCTACACCTAAAACCACTTTGAATCTTCGCATTTGCAAAATGCTTTAAAATCATTACTCAGTTCTTCTGATATATATAATGTATAACATATACATTAATGGTATTTTACTATACTGAATAGATAACTGAATATATCCACAAGAATGGGATTTTTACATTTATTCTTTTACTACAAGATAACAAATCTGACACTTAAGAGAGGTACTGATTTGCTAAGGGTCAGCGAGTGAGGCACTGGTGGAGAAAGTTAGCAATCAGATCCCCAGATGTTTGATTCTTTACTATTGTTTATTATTATACTTGCAATATTGTATGGGGAAAAGAGCAACAGAAAGCATGCCCATTCTATGGATTGGGGGGCTGAGGTTAAAACCAATCATTTGCCCAAGGTTTTGAGGCATACAAACAGCAGAAATGAGAGTACAACTCGGTTTTTTTTCCTTTAGCTGACATGGTTTTCATCTCTCCCTGCTTACACTCCCTAAGAGAATTTTTACATATAGGCAACATTAACACAAGTTTACTTCATAGAAAATGGTCTATAAATAATAAAAATAATTTTACCCATCTTACTATATGTTATTGATCTGATTTCTTTCATTGAAGCCATTATATCATTCCCAAAACACACTGGGCAAAAGGCATGTCTTTTTCTTCACCACAGCTTAACTCTTTAAATGCAAAAGATTTTCTTTCTGGTTGTATGTATCAGCATTAAAAATGTTAACAGATACAGTCACTAATATATTGTTTAATGAATTACACTATGAAATAACTACTAGTCTAAACAAAAAATACCCTCAGGAAATATGTGTAACCATTAGTTTCTACTGTTTAGTTTAACCTGTGATAAACAGCTTCAACAGGCAAGTTTTCCTGGCACATGGGTTTCAACAGTCTTTGCCTGAGGGACCTCTTCTCTTTTAGCACTGCTTCCAAATGATTATTCATGCTTTGCAGAGTATGACACTTCTGAGCTATACAAACCAAAAACAGTAATCATAGTTAGCAATATGACAAGTTTCAAAATCACTAATTATTTTTTGCTTGGGTATGACACTATCAGTGTCAAAAATTAATCCATTTCCCTCCTAAATATCTCCTTTGCTATCTTTAATATCAAAACCACTTTGCTTTCGATGATTTTTCTCTTACTTTGCTTGCTGACACCAAATCCAGTGCTAAATTCTTTGTCTACATTATTCAACTCTACTCCTAGTTCAGTTTTTATTTTTTAAAAGATTTTATTTATTTATTTGACAGAGAGAGACAAGCGAGAGAGTGAACACAAGTGGGGGGAGAAGCAGGCTTCTCGCTGAGCAGGGAGCCCAATTCAGGGCTCGATCCTAGGACCCTGGGTCAAAGGTAGAGCCAAAGGTAGACGCTTAACGACTGAGCCACCCAGGTGCCCCCTAATCCAGTTTTTATCGCCATAGCCGTATTCTTCACATAAAATCTCTTTTCTCATCTCTGCCTCTAACATTCTACATGAAATTAAAAAATAAACATGTCTTACAAGCTATTTCTGATTATTTCAATATTTTGCCTAGAATTCAGTTAATGGCTGCCAACTGACTCTTCTTTTAAATTTTTATTTTGAAAAATTTCAAACTTACAGAAAAGTTTCATTGAACTCCCACATACATTTCACCTAGACTCACCAACTGTTAACATTTAGCTACATTTTTTTTCCCACATACTGAATACATGTATTTTTGCTGACCCATTTGAGAGTAAGTTGTAGATACCATGAACTTCTACCCCTAAAACTTCAGCATGTATTTCCCCACATAGGAACATTCTCTTATGTAACTGTAAGTATCAAATTCAGAAAATTTAACAATGGTACAATACTACCAGTATTTAATACAGTCCATATTGACATATGACCAAGTAACTCAATAACATCCCTTATAGTAAAATAAATCTGTAATCAAGTATTCAATCCATGACCACATTGTGCTTTGGCTGTTGAGTCCCTCTAGTCTCCTTTAATCTGGAAAGTTCCTCAGCTTTTGTCTTCAAGCTTTCCTGAATTGGAGGAGCTCCTACCTGGGTCACTTTTCATGCTATTTGCACTAGTCAAACCAACAGGACTTCTATTTGAGCACAGAATAGAACACTTTATTAGCTTTGGGGCAATACCTGAAAAAATTATGGTATATCATAATGTATGATTAAGGTAATCCAAGAAAAAGTTGAAATTTCAATGATTACCCATTTCATCCAATTACTTACCCAAAAAGGAAGGATGAACAACATCTGCTGTATCTTTTTCTAGTCTTAAAAGTTCAATTTCCAGGTTTTTCTACATTAAGAAGAAAAATAACACTCAGCTCACGTAGAATGCTGCCCGAAGGCTTAAACTTTAGTAAAAAAGGCATAGTCTTTAACCCATGAATATTGAGGCGGGGAGAGAGGAGGATTCGTTATGAGAGCCCAGGGGATTTATTGAAGATTTTCATTTTGGTGTTCAAGCCCTATTGCTGCTACTGCTACTACTACTAACTACTACTATGACTATTACTACAAATAAGTAAAAACTTATCCAGCTATGTGCTAGACAATGTTCTAAGTGCAAGAGAACTGCTGCTGGAATCAATTTTTTTTCGTGTACTAGAAATAGAAAGTAAAAAGTCCAACATAATTTACCTGGTAGATTTCAGCTTGAATATCTGTGATCTGCTGTAGTCTAGAGAAGTTCGCAAAGTAAGAAGCTGATTTCTTGGATATATTTAACATCTCCTATTGGTAAATGAACAGAGAAAGCAGCAGTGTGTCACAAAAAGTTTCTGTGTGCATTGGAATAGCATACCCATGGGCTTAAAACAAAAGGATTTATTATGTCCAACACTGCCCTTAAAAAATGATGTACAGAGTTTAACAGTAGCAATGTATATTTGTTTTTATGTTTTGGGTTTTTTTTTTAAAGATTTTATTTATTTATTTGACAGAGAGAGACACAGTGAGAGAGGGAACACAAGCAGGGGGAGTGGGAGAGGGAGAAGCAGGCCTCCCACCAAGTGGGGAGCCCAACGCAGGGCTCGATCCCAGGACCCTGAGACCATGACCTGAGCCGAAGGCAGACACCTAACGACTGAGCCACCCAGGCGCCCCATATTTCCTGTTTTTAAAATATTCACTGTCTGGGTACCTGAGTAGCTCAGTGGGTTAAGCGTCGGACTCTTGGTTTTGCCTCAGGTAGTGATCTTGGGGTCCTGAGATTGAGCCTGGCATTATCCTCTGTGCTCATCGTGGAGTCTGCCTGGGATTCTTTCCCTCTTCCTCTCCCTCCCCCTCTGCCCCTCAGCCTGCACATGCTCTCTCATTTTAAAATAAATAATCTTTTTTTTTTTTTTTTTAAGATTTTATTTATTTATTCAAGAGAGAGAGACAGAGTGCAGGGAGCCCAATAGGGGGCTCGATCCCAGGACACTAGGATCATGACCCCAGCTGAAAGCAGACACTTAACTGACTGAGCCATCCAGGTGCCCCTAAATAAATCTTTAAAAAAAAAAAAAAAGAATTATGTTCTTAAAAAAAAAAAAGGCACTAAATATTCACTATCACAAATCCTTTGGCCAAATATTTAAAAATTAGAAAAACAAGACTTAATCACTTTGCCTATTTCCTAAAGTACTATGCACAATACATCTGAATTAGTGACAGCTATCAGAGAAGGCTAAGGTTAAGAAGGATAAGCTTGAGGTTGTTGGAGAATTACCTCTACACAAATCAACAAAACCTGGTTTCTGACCTTCCTGGGGCTAAAATCAAATACTTTCCCACCATGGAATCATTTATCTGATTCATTAAATGACCTCTATTGGCTATAACTCATTCATACTGTCTCTTTTCACATACTCTCTTAAAGGAATGTTTTGTCCAGGTGGAATTATTCTTCTAAAAAGCTTACCCGCTCCTTTTTATCCTTTAATTCCATGCAAAATATTGCTTGCAAATATTGCCTCCTTAAATTGCAGGTTACTTCAGAATAAGAATATTGTTCATCCCCTGGCTTGATCCATAATTTTCTGTAACCTCTTCTTTTTTTCAAGAATATTAGCACATTTAGAGATCTTTAGAGATCTTATAGGCAAAGGGTTGGGAAATGATAGTCCATGAACTAAATGCAGCCCACTGCCTGTTTCTGTATAGCCCATAAGCTAAGAATGGTTTTTATATTTTTTAATGCTGGGTAAAAAAGAAAAACAGTGTTTTATGACACATGAAAACAACATGAAATTCAAATTTCAGGATCCAGAATAAACTCAACTGCTCCCATTCATTTACTTATTATCTCTGGCTTCTTTCATACTACAATAGACTAGATGAAACTATATTGACCTAAAAGCCTCAGATACTCACCCTCTGGTCCTTAATAGCAAAAATTTGCTGACCAAAGATAACCAATTTTATAAGCGTTTACTGAGTAAGACACTCGAAGATTGAAGAATGGATGGGAAGGAAAAGGTATTCTAGTACTAACATATATGTGAAAAGGAGGGGAAGATGAATCTGAAAACATAGTTTCCTACATAATCGTGAAGATCTTGATAGCTGTGACAAGCAATTATAATGCAGGAAATGAGAGTAATTCAAGGTTTCCTGGTGAAGAAGTAACATGATCATATATAATACATATTTTAGAAATGTAAATGGGGATAGTATGGAAAATAACACTAATGAGGCTGGGGGGGACAGTAAGGAATAGGGAGTGACTACTTAATGAGTATGGGGTTTTCCCTGGGGATAAAGTTTTGAAAGTAGTTTCACAACATTGTGACTGTACTTCATGCCACTGAATTGTACACTAAATTTAAGATGGTTAAAATGGTAAATTTTATGAGCATTTTACCACCAAAAAAACTCGCCACTGGGGTGCCTGGGTGGCTCAGTCATTAAGCATCTGCCTTCGGCTCAGGTCATGATCCTGGAGTCCTGGGATCGAGCCCCACATCAGATCAAGCCTCCCATCGGGCTCCCTGCTCAACAGGGAGTCTGCTTCTCCCTCTGCCCCTTACTCTGCTCATGCTCTCTCTCTCTCAAATAAATAAAATCTATTAAAAAAAACAAACAAAAAAACCCATCACTCTGGTAACTAGCCAACAACATAAAACAAACAAACAAAAATACTAGGTGAGAGATAGGACTGGAGGTTGAATATTTAGACAAGTGGCTACTACAGCATTCCAGGTGAGAAGATGAGAATGTGGACTAGGTCAGTAGCAGTTAAAAAAGGAAAAGGAAGGCAGAGATGTGAATCCCTGGAGAGATGAAACGGATAAATCCTGGTTGATACGGGGTACTAGGGATAAAGTCAAGTCAATATTGACTCTGAGGGGACGCCTGGGTGACTCCGTTGGTTAAGTGTCTGCCTTCGGCTCAGGTCATGATCCCAGGGTCCTGGGATCCAGTCCCGCCATCGGGCTCCTTGCTCAGCGGGGAGCCTGCTTCTCCCCCTGCCTGCCACTCCCCCTGCTTGTGCTCTCAATATATCAAATAAATAAAATCTTAAAAAAAAAATATTGACTCTAAGGATCCCTAGTGACTGGACAGAAAGATACGCCACGCATTGAGGAAGATAACACAAGATACTTTACTGATGGCAAAATTGAGGTCTGGGGGAGAAAAGTATTAGTTTAATTTCATTCTATAAATATATATCATGGCTGAAATGAGGATGAATCTAATCTACTGAATTTCCATCATATCAGCATAACTCTTTCACTCTTCTTTTCTGCTCTTAGGTAGAAGGTAAATAAAAAGTAAAACATCTCCCATTTCTCACTGTAACTTACTCATTCTCTGGTATCTCTTCATCCCTCCTGTGTATATGCTAATCTTAACCACACACATGGAAACTAGTAAACTGTTGGGTTCAACAGCAGGGTAATGGAGCTTAGCCAAGAACATGTAAGAGAAACCAATGGAAAATAACAATGTTCAAGGGAGAGCCAAAAGGAGAGAGGAAAGAAAGAGTAGCCAAATTTCTCTAATAAATAGAAATTCTAACTACTTGAGGATTGTGACTTAGCCTTATATCTTAAAAAAAAAAAAAAAAAGCAAGGATTGGGGAATACAGAAAAGTTTTTACTGTTGACTACTGCTATTATATATTATATACTTTACATGCCAGTAGGGTAAAGGGACACTGAAAATGAAAGGATCATGAAAAGGGAGTCTGTTTAAGGTATTTCTGTTCATTCTGTTGCTAGGCACAAGAAGCTGAAATCCAAGACTTTTATGTATAATATAAAAATCCTGATAACACTGTGTACAAAAAATATATATGTATAAACTTGTGTCTTTGGGCATCCTTTCTTCTTTTTTTGTCCTTTCTACTTCATACTGAATTCTAGCTGAGGGACATTAAAAGGGAGATGTATAGCAGAGAAATTAAAAGCAGAGGCTTTAAAATGGGGGAGGGGATATAGAGGTGGGCAGGACACACTGAGAAAATAAGATTTATATATATAGATGTATAAACATACATATAAATATGTAAACTATATATATATGTCTATATATATCTCTATATAGTGTATGTATATATGTATTTGATTGAGCTATCATGACTCACTAAAGCTTGCCAGAAAAATAGCTAGGATGTAAGGCCAATAAAGCAGTCCTAGGGCAATCAAGGGCACCTGGGTGGCTCAGTCGTTAAGCGTCTGCCTTCAGCTCAGGTCATGATCCCAGGGTCCTGGGATGGAGCCCCGCATGGGGCTCCCTGCTCCGCGGGGAGCCTGCTTCTCCCTCTCCCACTCCCCCTGCTTGTGTTCTCTCTCTGTCTCTCTCTCTGTCAAATAAACAAATAAAATCTTAAAAAAAAAAAAGCAATCCTACGGCATAAACAAAAACAAATACCCCATTTATCCTACAGAGAGTTACCTATAACTTTCTTTCACTAAATCATTCCTTAATGGATATAGATCAAAACAAAATAAAACTCAAACAAGCTATATTTTCTGGAAGAGTTGCATCATATCACAATTTTAAGCATCACTTGATTTTTTTAATGCAAATGGGATGATGTGCACTTAAGGGATAGACTAAAGAGATCATAGAACATTATTTTGAAAGAACCAATGCTAAATCCTTCTAATAAGAATAGATTTTCATATGTAAAGTTTGCTTAAAGTAAAATCATACTACAAATCTGTGAAGTTTCCTCATTGGGACTAGTTGTGTAGTAAGATTGTAAGATGGTCTTAAAGAGCTATGGATTGGCAGATTTTACCTGAGGCAAAACAGGTAACTGTCTAATGAATGCCAGTTGGGACACTAGGAAGAGCCTCTTCAAAACAACTTCTACCCCAACAAACAGCTGACTTATCAATGTCAAAATTCTCTTAGGTGTTTATTTCTCAAACCAATACACTCTAGAGGGATAAGTCCCAAATGTCTTACCATATGAGTTTACCAAATTACTTTGTTACAGAACTAAACAATGCAGTGAGACTACCAGGTGATTTGGTAGGAAGAAAACACATAAGAGAAGGTGAGAACTGAGGGAGTGCTGTAGTTATGTTTTGCCTATTTTCCAATGCATTCATCTGTACCCCTCCCCCCAAATCCTTAAATTCTGGTTACTAGAACCTCGACTAATCTACAAGAATTCTTCATCAGAAGTTTAAACTCTCAAGATAGTGTCATAGTATCATCTACCACAGTTCATCTTAGAGATGATACAATGTGTCAGAAAAGGGAGCTCTGTGATCTATTTCACTGGTTGAGTGACCTTGGGTAAATTTCTTGGTCTCCGGGCGCCTGGGTGGCTCAGTCTCTTAAGAGTCTGCCTTCACAGCGGGAGGGGAAGAATGAAGCGGGGGGAAATCGGAGGGGTAGACGAACCATGAGAGACGATAGACTCTGAAAAACAAACTGAGGGTTCTAGAGGGGAGGGGGGTGGGAGGATGGGTCAGCCTGGTGATGGGTATAAAGGAGGGCACGTAGTGCATGGAGTGCTGGTGTTATACACAAACAATGAATCATGGAACACTACATCAAAAATTAATGATGTAATGTATGGGGATTAACATAAGAATAAAAAAAAAAAGAGTCTGCCTTCAACTCAAGTCATGATCCCGGGGTCCTGGGATCAAGCCCCACATCAGGCTCCCTGATCGGCGGGAAGCCTGCTTCTCCCTCTGTCTCTGCCCCTTCTCCCCACTCGTGATCTCTTTCTTTCTCTCACTCTCAAAAAAAAAAAAAAATTTCTTGGTCTCCTTACGCCTTAGTTCCATTAAAAAAAAAATTATTTATTTATTTGAGAGAGAGAGAGCGCGCGCGCGCAAGTGAGCAGGAGGGGCAGAGAGGGAAAGGAGAATGGTAGACTCCCTGCTAAGCGCGGAACCCCAGGTGGGGCTCCATGCCAGGGCCCTGGGCCAAAATCAAGAGTCAAGAGTCGGAGGCTTAATCAACGGAGCCACCCAGGCGCCCCTTTACTTTCTTCATCTTAAAAATAGTGTACAGTAGGGGCGCCTGGGTGGCTCAGTTGTTGGGCGTCTGCCTTCGGCTCGGGTCATGGTCCCAGGGTCCTGGGATCGAGTCCCACATCGGGCTCTCTGCTCTGCGGGGAGCCTGCTTCTCCCTCTCCCACTCCCCCTGCTTGTGTTCCCTCTCTCGCTGTGTCTCTCTCTGTCAAATAAATAAAATCTTTAAAAAAAAAACATAGTGTACAGTAGGAGCGCCTGGGTGGCTCCCTGGGTTACGCCTCCCACTCTTGATTTCGGCTCAGGTCCTTATCTCAAGGTCCTGGTATGGAGCCCCACCCCCTGCTCAGCTGAGCAAGGAGTCTGCTTGAGATTCTTTCCCTCTGCCCCTCCCCACCCTCTTTCTCTTTTATAAATAAATAAATCTGTAAAAAAAAAAAGTGTAAGGTACAATTCTCTAATGACTCTTCTAAGTATACAAAGTTATGTATTTTCCATAAGTCTTCCATCATGTTCATACAGCTAATCTCTCCGTATGATTTTACCTTTCTACTTCTCCGTTTCCTTTTTAGAGAAAATCCTCAACTTGCTCGTTATCTCAAAATTTCTTTCCCTCCATCTCACTTTCCCCCATTCCCTCGTCACTTGGATTCCATTATTCTCTCATATCTTTAATTTCTCCTAAAACTACAACCGCTGGGACTAATCTGCCTCTTCTCTGATAATTACTCCCCTCCTGCATTCACGTTCCAAGGTCTTTCGGGTCTTTCTCAACATTTTTAAAAATTTCTTTATTTTCTGCCTTTAAAGTTGCATGCTTCCCCTGACGCTCTCCTGTACCCAGCGTCTCCCGCCCCAAACACGCTTCAATACCTCACACAAACAAGCGTTGTTTGGCAACGTTTGTGTTTTAACACTTACCCGTATTTCCCAACCCCGCACGCATTACAATATACAGGCGGTATCACTGGGTGAGAAAAAAGCGGGGGAAGACTGATCTTTATTGTCTCTCACGAACTGACCCAGGATAACTCGCCCGCAGACACCTGAAACTCGTCTGCTCGGAGCCCCGCTTTGGCACAACCACTGCAGAACCGTCGCTACTGCTGCCTGCAAGGGCCTCCACCTGCCTCCACTCCGGCACAGCCCCCACCCAGCACCACCACCTCACAGCCATCTTCTGTCGCCACCGCCGGCACCCCCTTAATGACGCCATCGCCGCCCACGCACCTGAGTGACCATCCCCGAAGCTACAAAATGGTCCAGCAGCAGCCCGGCGGCACTCGGCGCGGACGCGGGATCCCAAGGGTTCGCAGCAGCCATGGCTGGGACCCACCTCCCCGGCCGGCGCGAAAAGTGAGTGTGAAGCACGGAGAACCCGCGGCGCGGGGCGATGACGTCACAGGGCGTTTCGGCCCGGGCGGAAGCGCGGCGAGCGCATCCCGGGGGAGAGCGGGCCGCGGCTCTTCCCTTGCTTAGCCGGCTGTGAGCTGAGGGGTAGGAGACGCGTCCGGCGCTCCCTGATTGTTCGTAGGCTCCGGCGGCGTCAGGCCTCGGAACAGCTGTAAAAGCTGTTGGCCCCGGTGGTCTGGTGGTTCTTCCCTTTCTTCCGTGCGACTTTTAGTTGGTCCCCAAGATCTGGGCGTCGGCAGGAGGTGACAGCTTGGGCACGAGACCAGCCGAGAGGCGGATGGGATGGCTGGATGCCTGGACTGAGCGGTGACAGCTGCGCTTCCTTCCTGCAGGGACCTGAGCCGCGGCCCTAGGATGGGAAACAGTGCCCTCCGCGCTCATGTGGAAACCGCGCAGAAAACTGGTGTCTTTCAGCTTAAGGACCGTGGGCTGACCGAGGTGAGACCGGGAGGGGGCCGACCGGGGAAATTAAAGGGAGAGGGACGGCGGGGGTGGTGAAGTTAATCGGTGAGGAATTCTCCGCGCTGTGAACCCCTTTCTCCAGTTCCCCTCAGAGTTGCAGAAGCTGACCGGCAATCTAAGGACCATCGACCTGTCCAACAACAAGATCGAGAGCCTACCGCCTATGATTATAGGAAAGTTCACTCTGCTGAAGAGCCTCTCCTTGAACAACAACAAACTGAGTATGGCTTTTGCGCCTGGGAAGCTTTTTGCTAGTGATCAGCTGTTGAGAAGGGTGGTTTTCTCTTACAAGCTGATTTTTGTTGTTGTTATGAAACCGTACTGAGAGCTCAAGACGCAGGAGGATATCAGAGTCCTTGAAGCTATCTCTTGTAATTACATCTACCCGCCTCCTCTGGTGGTGTAATGATTGGTACTGGCTTAATTTGGACTTGAAAGGAAAGACCATCTTTGGGATGTGATGTAAACAGAGCTAATTTTGCTGCCAATTTAGAAAGGGGGATGGAATGGGATGGGGAGGGCCTAACAAATGCCACAAAATTGCTGTCGGATCCTGCAGAGGTCCTTTTACAAGAGGAGCCCAATATACACATAAATACTTTCCTGTATTTTGATGGCACCCTCACTTTCTGAAGACTATGTTGGTAAAATGCAATACTTAAAAATGGCACATGTGGGAATTTTATGTGTTATCAGTAGGAGGCATATAAGGTGGCCATATAGTTTTTCTAAACTTTGTCTAAGGTATGTCTCAGCTGTATCAGATTCAGGTTTTTAATTTTTTTCTTTGCCAGCTGTTCTTCCTGAGGAGTTATGCAATCTGAAAAAACTAGAGATGCTAAGCCTAAACAACAATCACTTGAGAGAGTTACCATCTACCTTTGGGCAACTGGCAGCCCTCAAGACCCTGAGCCTCTCTGGGAACCAGCTACGAGCACTGCCACCACAGCTCTGTAGCCTACGGCACTTGGATGTGGTGGATCTCTCCAAGAACCAGATTCGGAGCATACCTGACTCAGTGGGGGAGCTGCAGGTCATCGAGCTCAATCTCAACCAGAACCAGGTCTAGAGCTTAAGGGTTTTTTTCCTACATCATGTGGATTTACAGTCTCCTGTTTAATCCATTCTTTGCTAAACTGTAGTCATGGAGCTGGGTATCAGGCTAGATGAGCAGTATAGTCCATGGGCTGGACTAATTTCAAAGCTAAAAGTGCTATGGAATTAGTTGAGACACTGCGTGTTTGTGTGTTGCATAGGTGTTTTTAGGAGAGTGGGATGCGTAATGGGGTGAGATAATTTCAAAAGTTAAACTGTCTCACAAATCTTGGAGAATTCAGATCCTCCACAAATATGCCTCTAATCACCTAGCAAGGAGCTATGTCGGGTGGGGTGGAAAAGAGGCTTTAACTCATAGGTTCTTGGAGTTGGACAAGAGATAATTAATTGTCCCTTTTTTGACATCTTTGTCCAGTGTGTCCTGCTTATACTGAAAATTCATAACTGACAGGCTTTCTGGCCCATTTCATTGTTGGACAGCTTTAATTGAAATATTTGAAATTTGTTTCCATTACTTTGGAAGCTCTGGTTAATATGTATCTGACTGGAGAAATAATCCTTGGTCTAGACATAAGGCTTAAATGATGAAACATTAAACATAGTGAGACTAGGTGGCCTTTAATTTTTTAGTGCCTACAGTTCTAGATTTGCACGGTCCAATACAATAGCCACATATGGCTGTTAAAATTCATTTAATAAATAAAATCTTAAAAAATATGGGCGCCTGGGTGGCTCAGTTGGTTAAGCGACTGCCTTCGGCTCAGGTCATGATCCTGGAGTCCTGGGATTGAGTCCCGCATCGGGCTCCCTGCTCAGCAGGGAGTCTGCTTCTCCCTCTGACCTTCCTCCTTCTCATGCTCTCTGTCTCTCATTCTCTCTCTCTCAAATAAATAAATAAAATCTTTAAAAATAATAATAATAATAAATTAGATTTAAAAATTAAGTTCCTCTGTTGCCACTAGCTATATTTCAAGTGCTCAAAAGCCGGATGTGGCAACCATATTGAACCACAAAGATATAGATTTCAATCACTGCCAAGTTTTATTGTATAAAACTGTTCTAGATTGTAGTAATCTTACATTATGATAAAATTCAGTCTGTCTTGAGTAGATTGCCTCACCTTTTCCATGAAAGTGGATATTCTTGTATGTTGAGCTTTTGGGGAAAAAAAAATGTGAATATTTGAAAAAAACTTCTGGGAAAACATTGTTCAAGAAATACTAGCTGCACACTCACCCCATTCACCTAGGCTGCTGCCCTATAATCACTGGTTCTGATTTTAGCGTGGACCACATTAACCAGAAGAGCTTGTGAAGAGATCACTGGGCCCCTACCCTCCGTGTTTGCGATTGAGTAGGTCTGGAGTGGGGTCTGAGAATTTACTTTTTTTTAAATTTTTTAATTTTTTATTATTTTTTAATTTTTATTATTTTTTAAAGATTTTATTTATTTGACAGAGAGAGAGCACAGATAGAGTGGCAGGCAGAGGGAGAGGGAGAAGCAGGCTCTCCGCTGAGCAGTGAGCCTGATGCGGGGCTCAATCCCAGGGCCCTGGGATCATGACCTGAGCTGAAGGCAGACGCTTAACCGACTGAGCCACTCAGGTGCCCCTAAAATTTTTTTATTAACATATAATGTATTATTTGTTTCGGGGGAGAATTTACATTTTTTAAGGTTTTTATTGGGATGCCTGGGTGGCTCAGTTTCTTAAGGGTCTGCCTTCTGCTCAGGTCATGATCCCAAGGGCCCTGGGATCAAGTCCCCCATCGGGCTCCTTGCTCAGTGGAGCCTGCTTCTCCCTCTGCCTGTCCCTCCCCCTGCTTGTGCACGTGAGTGCTCTCTCTGACAAATAAAATCTTAAAAAAAAATTACAAGATTTTTATTTTAGAGAGAGTGCGTGCACGTGCACACACAAGCATGGGGAGGGGCAGAGGGAGAGGATCTCAAGAAGACTCCTGGATGAAGGTGGAGTCCAAGGTGGGGCTCCATATCACAACCCTAAGATCATGACCGGAGCCGAAATCAAAAGTCGGACACTGAACCGACTGAGCCACCCAGGCGCCCCTGAGAATTTATATTTCTAACAAGTTCCCAGGTGATGGTCTGAAATGATACCAGGTAGAGTAAATATAATTTGGTGACTTGGAGCATTTAAAGGGCAAAAGAAGTGAATGAATCAAAGATAATTGTTCAAGGGCCTAAAAGAGTGGTGCTACTGAGTGGACAAGCTGAGTCAATTATGATGGTGACTCATCCCAACAGAAATGTTTTATTAAAAATTGGAGACATGGGAGTGGAATAGACATGAGTAGATATGAATATAGATACAGATTTTCAGGTCTTAACAATTGATAGCTTTAAGAAAGGATGAGCTTTTTAGGAGGAAGTTTAGAAAGAAGATCCAATATTAGAGACTGCTGCTTGAAAATGTCCATAGGAACAAGGGGGCGGGGGAGCCAAAAATCAGCAATAATTCAAAAGAAGAAAAGTCCAATATTTAGGTACAAGGAGTTTCAAAAAAGTGGTAGATGATAGTCAAATCCAATAGGGAATGAGGACAGTGAATCCTTGACTTTGGCAGTATAGCGGTCAGCATCTATGTACACATAAAAGATAGGCAGTAAATGTAAATGCACCAAAATGTTTATGGTGGTAGATAAGAGGTAACTTTTTTCTTTAAACTTATGTGATGCTCAAATTTTCTGTAATGAACAGTGCTTTTATTAGGACACTTCTGTTTCTAAAAAGCCACCAGTAACCTTCAAACAGCATCTTTTTCCAAAAAGTGGAGGAGTAACAGAAGCTAGATAGCATAGGCTTTGGAAATGGGTAGGTGGTGAGAAAATGGAGGCGGTAAAAGAAAGAACTAGGACAAATGGTCAAGTTTTTGTTTTAATTTAGTAAAAAAAAAAAAACAAAACACATAAAAAACATTATAGTAGTGCTTTTACTTTTTCCTATGATTCTTTTTTGTTGTTCAATAGATATCTCAGATCTCAGTAAAGATATCTTGTTGTCCTCGCCTTAAAGTTCTTCGCCTGGAAGAGAACTGTCTTGAGCTCAGCATGCTTCCACAGAGCATTCTCAGTGATTCCCAGATCTGTCTGCTTGCTGTGGAAGGCAACCTTTTTGAAATAAAGAAACTTCGAGAACTGGAAGGATATGATAAGGTATGTATTAGTGTACTTCATCATTGTTCCAGAGATAATGGTGAAGTAACCCACATAAACATTTATAGCTACAGGATATATGCATAATCCTGTTTATGTCAACAGGATTTGTTCCCCATTTTGGAGGTGGATTCTAAAAATTAGCCACATGGTATTGTGCCAAGGTAACTTTTCCTCCAGGTAGCTTATTGTAAAGCATTTTGTCTTTTGATGGGTGTCTTATTAAAATATAAGGGAAAAACCCCAAAGCTATGTGCTTTAAATCTGCATTTAGAATAGGTCGATTTTTAAGGAAATGAAAAAGACCATATCCAATAAAAATCTAAATGAAAAAAAAATCACAAAATCCTAATAAAAAAATAGGCTAATATTTGCTTGTGCCAAAATACCACATATTCTTCTTTTATGATTTTTAGTACATGGAGAGGTTCACAGCCACTAAGAAGAAGTTTGCATGATGTTCTCCAGGAGCACGGGAACCTTACAGGACACTGACATGGAATCTCTTGCAATCTGGCTGAATCAAAGGGTCCTGTTGTCAAGGATTATCTGCAGTAAGGAGATGATACTCCTGCAGATATTTCAATGATCTTTTCCCTTTCCAGGGCTCGTCTTAAGCAAGCTAAAAAATCAAGGGACAGTAAGACTCCTCCATTTTGAGTCATGGATAAGGGTAAAGGACAGTGTTGATCATCAAAACCTCCATTAGTCTGGCTTTAAGAAAAACAGTAGCTCATTGTTATTTATACAATGAGGGGATGCTGCTTGGTCACAGAATCACTCCGTATCACAGCTTGAAATTTCATGTTTAGTTTCAGTGTATGAACTTTCATAAAGTCAGTTGCCATTCCACCTGTGTTAACATTTCATATTTTTATGAAATATAGTTTGTGAGAGGCTACTATGGTTAATCTAGGATTTATGATTTTATTTCAGTCCATCAGTTCAATCGCAGTGTGTATACTTGGAATTTAGAATGTACATAAATATGTGACTGTCTTGATTAAAAGTATATTTTGTCAGAGAAGCACCAACACACTAAGAGATGTTCCCCAAGGCTGCAGTAGCAAATTTTTTACTATTGCATGTGCCTTACTGGTAGAGGGCTCTGAAGAGCTAAAACCATATATGCAAAATTTGTAAGATACAAAGGGTTGTAATAATCAAGATTTTCCTGAAGCTTTTTTAGAAATAATGTCTTATTTCTGGTAATCCTTTTCCCTTTTTGTCTTTATAATTCTAATCAAATTACCTATCAAAAATCTCCTACAATATTTTAAAATAACCTATGTTTATAAAGTTTATTCTCTGGATGAGAGAATATACTAAATAAAGAATTTTTAATGAACTTCGGCTGGAAAAAGTGCTAATCCTCAAAGGAAGAAGACAGGAGAACTTTAACCTGTATGTGGCCCTTTGTTTGAAAGTAAACTGATTAGAAAGAAATGTTTCATAAGGTGCAGGAGTACTGAAATGCCTTCATGTGACTGATAAGCATTTTGCAGTACTAAAACCATGCTTATTAAGAGAAACTGAAAGTACAAAGGTAGATGATGTCAGGTTGTTACTGACATGAACATTTCGGCAACTACCACTCTCAAATATTCTGAGGTTTTGCCTTTGGCGGGGCAATTTAGCATGTATTGTCAGTTCTTGTTTTATAAACCTAGTCTAACCATTAAGTCAGTAGATCACAACAGCTTAGTGTTTATATGAGGAAGTCTTTCTGACTTTAAATCTGATCCGTATTCTAAATCTGATCCATATTCTCTATTTCCCATGTTATTTTCTGTTTCTCAACATGGGGAGGGATGGGCTGCCAGTTTATTGTTAGCAACTGAGTTTTGCTTTTTGTAAACTTCAATGCTTAATCTTTTTGGTCTACTAAACAATGTTTCTCTAGATTTTTTATCAGTGCTTAACATCTAATAAATCAGAGCTTCTAAAGTAAACAACTTAAATGTCCCCAGACATTTAATTAATTGGAGTTAAAAATATCCCCCATCTCTGAGAATCAGTGACTGCTAGCTTTCACAACTTGTACCTAGCCTTATTTCCAGATACCCTTTCTTCACTCTTATTTAACCTGCCCAGTCATACCAGATTATTCTCCTTAAATCCACAGTGCAGTGTCTCCCCTGTAACTGCCTTTACATTGTTTGCTCAGTCAGGAATGTCTTCTCTCACTAACGTGCTCCATCTATCTAAAACCCATTTTAAGTCTAAGCCAAATTAATTGCTCCCCCATCTTCTCACATTCTATATTCATCTGTTTCTTACTAGAATGAGCTACTTGTGTGCAGGAACTATGTAAAGTAACATGCCCAGATTTATAACACACAAGTATTTAGGCTTGCCTATGAGCTAACATAACAAAGTTGGTTAACTTGTGTGTGGTCTGGAGACCCATATTCTAGTTTGGCCACCAGCCCTAAGTCACCCACATTCTTTTAGAGCTTGGTTGGAAGTCAGTGTAGTATATTAAGCTCATGGGCCTTGGAGTCAGAAAGATCCTGGTTTGAATACACAGTCTGTCATTTACTAGCTTTGTGAATCTGAGCAATTTATGCTCATCTGTAATATGGTGAATACCTCCAACCTTTCAGATTTGTTATGAGGATATGGTAAAAAGATACATAAAGGCATTTTAGCAGGGTGCCCACAATAGAGTAAGCAATCAATAAATGGTGCCATTTATTTCATCTGTAAAGCATTAAAATAGAAGTTAGCAAATCATTATAGAAACGGAAGGCTTGGAGCAAATACTACATTAAAAAGGATGAAAACAAATGACTAGAGAGTAAGGAACTTGAATATCATCAATCTGAGAAATACAAATCTGATTAGGAATGTAATTGGGATAACCTGGAATTTTGATAAGACAGTGACCTAAAGAAAGTAACATTTAAGGAAACTAATTCTAAGTGCAATTGAGTATAAAATGGCTGGGTTAAGAGGAAATTCATAATTCACACATGACATGAAAAGATCTAAAGTGTGGTAACAAGGATGAAGGAAGGGACGCCTGGGTGGCTCAGTTGGTTAAGTGTCTGCCTTTGGCTCAGGTCGTGATCCCAGGGTCCTGGGATCGAGTCCCACATCGGGCTCCCAGGGAGCCTGCTTCTCCTTCTGCCTGCTGCTCCTCCCTGCTTGTGCTCTCATTCTCTCTGACAAATAAATAAATAAATAATATTTTAAAAACCCCACAAGGATGAAGGAATTGTGAAGGAAGAAAGAAACAGGCATAACTATTGGGGATAAATACCATTTGTCGCTCTAAGACTGGAAACTTGAAGAAGGAGCTTACCGTTAAAAAATTAAATTCAGGGTGATTATTTTGAACTCCTTAGTTATAGGTTAGTGTTATGCTCAAGATCATACAAGTAAATGACTAAAGCAAAATTTGAAACCAGGTGGTCAGACTCTAGAGCTTGTGTTAATCACTTTCAGTTACTACCTTTCAAAAGTAATGGAAACAAGTTTCCAGACAATGTTAACCAGAAAAATCAGAAAAGGCTTTAAGTCAACAGCTTGTATTTCTAGTGCATTATGGACCTAACTTCTATGGCCTCATCCCTCTTCTTTCTTAGTAGGAGAAGCTTTGGCAGAGTTTGTAACCTGGGATCCATGGATTTGCTTTCAAGATCCACTGATGCGTGATTCTTATGCGTGATTCATGTTTGTGTTAGTATCTATTTCTCTGGGGAGATAGGCTATGTTGTCTTTCATCAGATTCACAAATGGATTCTTGACCCAAAAAGCTCCACCCAAGAAAGAATAGCAACTATAATTTATTAAGCTCTTATATTTATTGGGTGCTGCGCTCAGTTCTTTACATGGCATCACCACACTGACTTTTCGTGACAACTCTATGGAGGAGGAATTATTAATCCCCATTTACAGACAAGAAAACTGAGGCACAGAAATGGGCTTACAGTCTCAGTTAGCAAGTGGAAGAGTAAATGCAGATAGTTGAGTGCCTTAGCTTATACTTCTAACCAATTATAATGTGGGGGCAGCATTTTGGTATCCTCAGAACTATTACCTTTAGCCATAAGATAAAAAATTTTTTTAATGTTCTAAGCAAGGGCATTTAGGTATAGCACAATCCCCAATGTTTTGTACTTTCTCTCTTTACACATTTACCACCACCTACCAAACTACTCCTTCTGGCATGCAGCATTTCTATTCCAGAGGGCCTGATTGAGTCTCACTCTAAATATTTTCCACTAAGGCCTGTGAAAGTCCTCATGTTAACAGTATCTTCAGTAAGTGGGTTGTAGTTCTAGTGCATAAACATCCTTTCAGTCATTAGTGTATTAAAGCTCAAATGAGTAAGAGACTAATAATAATTACAATGAACCTCATGACAAATCGTAGGAAGAAAAGTCCTGTCAGTACTTCCGATAAAAATTGGGAAAGGTGCTGAAGGCAGCTTTCCATCAGAGTGCTTCTTGATTTATGGACCTTTGCTTTATTCAATTTAAGAGCTGATGAAATTATTGCCCCCAACCCTTGCCAAATAGTCACAGAAACACATTACCTATTTGAAAGAACAATTCCACCAGTTAGTTATAAAATTTAATTGTAAAGAGCAAGCAGTGGTTATCGGTCAAACCAATCCACATTAATAGCTTTGAAGTGTGCAGACACTAGTTTTTTTTTTTTTTAAAGATTTTATTTATTTATTTGAGAGAGAGAGACAGAGAGAGAGCATGAGAGGGGGGAGGGTCGGGAGGGTCAGAGGGAGAAGCAGACTCCCTGCTGAGCAGGGAGCCCGATGGCGGGACTCGATCCAGGGACTCCAGGATCATGACCTGAGCCGAAGGCAGTCGCTTAACCAACTGAGCCACCCAGGTGCCCCAGACACTAGTTCTTAAATAAAGGTGACAAATACCAATCAGATTCTTATAACACTGTTCAGGATCTAAATAAATGTGATTCTGGACATAATTCAATCTACAAGGCTAATTGAATGATAGTGCAATCATCAATAATTAAACCAAAGGCATAATTTTCCAAATCACTTTTAGTTAAACAGAATAAATTCTAGCTTTTTTAAGGTCTAAAGCTACAAAAAACTCAAAGCAATCTATTTTTCTACCTGAGATCAAAATAAGTTTCTTTTTCCCCATCTAAACATAATTCTTGACATTGAGGTAAATCTGAATTCACGTAATATACTTTGTCAAACTTTTCCAAAAAATTTTAAGCCCTGCTTTAGAGAGAAATGCTCATGTTACACATACATATTTACATATTTTTTTCTTCAAAGACTAATGACAAATTTAAGAGGTTAATAGGCATGTAATGGGACCATAATACTACTAATAATGTGAAAATAAAAAGTCATTCATTTATACAAAGTGTTCCTGTATGGTGCAGAATGAAATGGGATCACTGTCTATGTACATACACAAATCACCAAATGTTCAGAAACTAAGCCCACTTTGAGAAAAGTCATTCTATTTTTTTGGAGCCGAGGTTGCCAAGTTGTGATGATTAACAAAAATATTGTGTATAAAAGCTCCCAAACCAAGTATTAGCCTAAATTGGCAATAACTGCAACTTAAATGAAAAATTAAACCCAACTAGATCTTTACTCTGGCCATGCAACTTTTGCTTTGTGGCCTGCAGGTTTTACTGCGGTAACAACCTCTTCTCTCTCGCCTCTCCTCCTTGTGCTCCCCCTGCCTCCAACTTCCTTCTTCATGGCTGTCTTTGGCAATGCTTCCAAATCTTGAAAGCAAAAGAACCTGCTAAAGTAAATGAGGAGGATGAAAAATAACACTATATATGATGTACAAAAACCAGTCTAAGACTATGGACCGAGAAAAAAAAAAGGTACTAGAAGGAAGGCTGAGCAGTAGTGTACCCTCAAGGGAAAGAGAACGTAAAAGAATAGGGGGTCTGTACTCCTGGCCTTCTTGCACATTATCTCCTGATTTAGAAGAGCGTGGAACCAAAACGTCAAACTCTGAAAAGATAATGACTTTGAAGGAGGAGCTAGAGAAGTGAATACACGATAAAGAAGTACAGCAGCAGCTTTAGCTGTCAATGAGTTTCTTTGCTCTGGCATTGGCAACATCAATACGATCTTTGTTGGTGTCAGCCTGAAAAAAAGAAAAAGGTACCAGCATTATGTTACAAGGTAACTTGCTCTAATAAAAGTTGAATTTCATACACCTGGAGTAAATGACACACTGAGAAAATTCAGGAAACATACAGTCACATTACAAAACTCATTCCGGGCAAGAAGAGAGAGAACATGAAATTCATTTGGGAAAACCGGGAATATAAAGGTTTAACAGAAGGTTTAGCAGAAGAACTTGCCAGTATTTCATGAATTCTGTAACATTTTCTCATAGTTTAACTGGGATGCATCTTATAATCAATGCCATTTTCGATGCAATGAAATTAAGAATGCTTTCTGCTATAGAGGAGGACATTGTGGGAGTCCCCTGAACTGAATCATAGAATCTTATCTGAGACTACTCTAGGTCTAACCCAGAGAGACTGAAAGAACCTTCCCCAAGATTTTTGTAACAGATGTATTATCATCCACATCAACATCTGACCACAGGACAGCTTTGAAAGCATCTTATGAACCACTGTTTGCCTCCATGAAATCCACCATTAAGTGACTCAATAGAACTAAGCTTAAAAACTCATCCCATCCTTTAAGGGACCCTGAGATTTTTAATGAAATAACAATAACAAGAATGGCTTTTAGCCATGGCACATCCAAACACTGAATACAATTTCATTTTCAGTATCTTTTATATCATGTGAAGAAAAAAAAATAGCAATTCCATCTTATCTTTACCCATAGAACCCTGTTTTGTGTGTCCACTCCACAAGAACTATTCTGCAGAACTGATTTTCACTTAATGACTCATGAGATGAGGATTTAGGAACTTACTAATTTGTTAGTAACAAAATAAAACTCCAAAAGCTAACTCATTCACTCAAGGGAAAAAAAATATAGCCCTCCCAAAGGTTAGAGTAGACTCTAAGCTTCGTGTGTGAAATTTTAAATAAAACCACTTCATTCTAAGGTCTTGGTTTCAAAATGAACCAACTGCCATGAACAAGAGATAGGAGGACCTGGCTATAATTTTTCAATGTGTTAGAAATCCCATCTCATCAAAACTGTAAGACCTGTGAGGACAGGATCTTCTCTATTGCCCCCCCCACCCCAAGTATCAAGCACAGATGTCCATTACTAAAGTGTCTCAAATTCCTATGGCATGAAGGAGCATTTACCTTTTCTGTGATCCGGTCTATTCGTCGATTTTGAGCCTCGATCTCATTGCCCATGTCTAGGGCCATGTTCTTTAGGTTTCCTAGGATACTGCCCACTTGAGTCAGGTTCTCTTCCATCTCATCCTCTCTGGCATCGTTAGTTATACTATCACAAAAAGACAGTTAATTCAGTACTTTTTGGTGAATTATAAAAATGGACTAAATCTGGATTTAGTTTTCATAAAAATAAGTAACCAAAATGACCTCAGCAAGCGTTAGACCCATGGGAAGGTAGGTTACCATTCTCAGAAAACATTCTGTAGTAAAAATTGAAAGACTGACCAAGAGAACGCAATGTCTTAAAGCCATGTAGGAGAAGAAACAACTCTAGAACAATGGTTCTCAACGAGTGATCACAGCGTCACCTGGGAACTTATGAGACATGAAAACATGCAAATTCTCACACTCTACTACAGATCTACTGAATCAAACTGGAAGTGGATCCTAGGATTCTATGTTTTAATAAACCCCCAGGTGACTCATGCACACTAAGTCTAAAGAACCACTGCTGTAAAACAGGTTGCAAAACTCTGGCCCAAAGGTCAAAGCTGGCCTGCCACCTTATGGAGTTATTCTTAGAAAATATATTATAAACCCTAAGGAGTGAGTGTGGAAGCAGCTGAAACATCAGCAGCATTCCTGTTCTCGGGCTTTTGAACACAGGGGCCCGGTAGGAGCAGGACCCCATGATCCCCAGGAGCAGGGCGTTTAAGTTAGGAGCTATGAAAGAATGTAACCCTCTGTCCCCCCTTTCTGTACCTGGCAATTGCCAGCCCAAACATCCCACTCCTCCCTTATCCCATGACTGACTCCCTGCGTGCCTACGTGTAGGGGAAAATGCAAGCCTGCTTCAAGATATTTGCCATCCCTTTGTACTCCTTTCCCATGCTCGGAAGCATCTGTCCTTGCTTTTCTGATAAAAAAACAAAATAAAAGCTATGTGCAGGATTCAGCAGCTGCTGCTCTCCCTTGCAGAGGCAGCTCCGCATGGCCACTCAGATTGGTGTCTGAGAACTTTATTTCAGTGTGCGACACCACCACCTGATTCTGTAAATAAGGTTTTATTCAAATACAGCCACACTTATTATTTGCTTACATATTGTTTATGGCTGCTTTCACCCTACAACAACAGAGTTGAGTAGCTGCAATGGACACCAGCCTGCAAAGTCTGGAATATTTACTATCTGACCCTTTACCATTATTATTATTTATTTATTTATTTATTTTTAAAGATTTTATTTATTTATTTGACAGAGAGAGACATAGCGAGAGCAGGAACACAAGCAGGGGGAGTGGGAGAGCGAGAAGCAGGCTTCCTGCCAAGCAGGGAGCCCGATGTGGGACTCGATCCCAGGACCCTGGGATCATGACCTGAGCCGAAGGCAGACGCTTAACGACTGAGCCACCCAGGCGCCCCCTTTACCATTATCTTTATAGGGATCTGGCCAACCGCTATCTGCAGATGAACATTTTTTTTTTTTTTTTTTTAAGTAGGGCTCCACACCCAGCATGGAGCCCAACATGGGGCTTGAACTCACAACCCTGAGATCAAAACCTAAGCTGAGATCAAGAGTCTGACGCCTAACTGACTGAGCCACCCAGGTGCTCCTGCATGATACATTTTAAAACACATTCTCCTATTTATAGAAGTAAAATATGCTTACTTGGGTAATTTTGAAAGTACTGAAAAACATAAAGAAAAGTTAATCCATCAATGAAAGTCAAGTACCACAGTCAACATTTTGTCAGAAGGCAGATTATAAAATGCATTTTTCAAATGGAATAAACACTGTTTCTAACTGATGAATTAGGGCTCATGTACAACACCCCCCATCCTCCTGAGTGAGCCATTCATTTAGGAAAGGGATAAAGAGCATCAGGAGGAGCCGGCATACCGTTTAATGTAGCCACCGCTAGCTGCTCCAGTGGCTGGTGGTTGAGGCTGACCATTGGTCACTCGGCCTGGCTGCTTAGATACGACACTGCTAGGAGAGTTGTCTCCACCATCTCCCCATGTTGCCTTGTAGGCCTTACCAGACTCAAAGTTCTTTGTCCTGTATAAGTCAGGAGTGTAGAGAGATACGGAAAAGCAGGAGGGGAAGAAGTGTAATTATTAGTGCTTTTTACCTTCAGGACGACTCTAGCGCCCTTAGCACAAAAGCTACCTACAGCTAGATCCACATTAGCTCTACTATGCTCCGCTACAATACGGTATATGAAACAGATGAATTGTGTAAGCCCACTGACATTAAACACTTTTTTAAAGGTTCAACTATTTCCACAAAATGTTCACTAAGCAGTTAGCAAGTAGCAAATTATTTGACTTTTCAGGTTCCCCTAGCCTTTGACAGGCTTCAGAAAAGAAAATAGGGGATACCAGGACCAAAAAATTCCTTAGGAAAGGTGTTCTGGCGTTCCGTGGAGGGATCTCACAAGTTGATGAGGGATGGAAGAGAAAGAAGGCTGAGTGGGCAATACTCAGACCCCAGGTGCCCACTTATTTGAACCAGAGTAGATCCAGCTGATTCAGCTTTTTAAAGTTAGAATTTTGCATTAAATTAAAAAAAAAATCATGAAAGAAAGGCATGAATTATTTCCAAATTGAACAGTCAATGATAACCATCTTGACCACATTGGTACCAGTTACAAAGCCTTTGATTTAGGGCTTTTTCATTTAAGATTTTACTTTTCCTCCTTTAAAAAAAGATGATCCTAAATCCAGGCCTCTTAAAAATAAAAGTACATACTTTAGATGTAACTGATATAGTCAAAGTCAGAATTTTATCTAGGGATTTACTACTCAAACTGGTAATAATGGCAAGGAAAAAAGCCTTGTAAAGTGACTTTTAAATGACTGTTACAAAAAAATAACACAAAACTTTTTTACTGATTATTTGGCTAGGTACAATTTTCACTCACACAATTTTAATTTTTACTTTTCTATAAACAAAAAGGAGTATATAGCTATAATATTGGTCTCTGATTTATTCCACATAATGTTAACAAGGAAGTCTCAAAACTGCAAAAACAGAGGAGATTTTTATGAAAATGGTAGTTCTTTCCTTAATAGATATAAGGATTCCTTTTTGGCAAACCTAGAATCGGCTCTTAAACCTTAATCATTAATGCTACAGAAAGGGTGCTACTACCTTTTTTATAAGAGGTACTGAAAAGGTAAATATATCTATGAACACTGAAAAGCTAATCAAAGTGCCTTTCTTGGTTCCACTTTAAGTTCTCACAGTTTCCTACTTGTGCTATGTTTAATTAATTAATCAATTTATTAACAAGCCATGTTAAATCTGTCCTGGAACAAGGTGGGATATACCTTTTCTAAACGAATATTTATATATAATTATCTGTTAGTTTGGTGAAACCCATTTACATGTATTATTTTTTTAACAAGGTAAGTTCTCAGACAAAATTCTAAAGCAGAGGAATACCTAGTAAACAGCACGTAAGTTTATCAGAAAGTGAATAACCAGATGTAGTAATACAAGTAATATAAGACAAGTGCAGCTTTTATTGGGATGTCAGATTGTAGAACAAGTGAAAGAGTGAGGGCTGGAATTCAAAAGTCACTATATGAATGATATTATGTTTCTGAGAGTCATAGTACATAAAGAGTAGACTGGGACAGGACCTGCCAGCTCCTGGTCTATCAAGGAATATATACATGCTCCAACATCCTTCTCAACCTTAAAAGATTTGAAATTCCTTTAAGTTTTTGAGAATTCTTCCTTCCATAATTAGATACAAGGGGCTTAGGATGCAAATGAATTGTTTTAACATGATATTATGAATGAGTTCCAATTAAATCATGGTCTGTGTTATAAACAAAGAATCAGAATGGTTATCAAATCCTTCTCCCTTTAAGAGAACTGGATCCTAGAAGATGTTCTTCTAATATTAAGGGGAAAAGGAATAAAAAGCTGACACTGAATTTTTCCTTCTACAGCTTTGCATTGGGTTGTCATGTTTACTTTCAAATGAGTTGGGGAAAAAAAACTGCACTTTTCTCATGCAGTTATGACATATTCTCCACGTTTATGAAGAGGTGATTTTTTTTTTAAAGATTTTATTTATTTATTTGACAGAGAGAGACACAGTGAGAGAGGAAGCACAAGCATGGGGAGAGGGAGAAGAAGGCTTCCTGCTGAGCAGGGAGCCCGATGCGGGGCTCAATCCCAGGACCCTGAGATCATGACCTGAGCCGAAGGCAGACGCTTAACGACTGAGCCACCCAGGAGCCCCTGAAGAGGTGATTTTTAAATGGTGCTCATTTTGTATCTTCATCCACATGACTCCTCCATGTCTCTTTCAGCACATGCACTCTAGGTAATGCCTTCCAGTTTACCCTGCCACTTGCCATCACCCTGGATGGAGTTTGTCCCACAAGGTGGAATACCCTTGAAAGTTACCTGTTTTTAAGGAATTGTCAAGTAGCTGCCCATCTAATAATAATGATGATGATAATGGTTTTAATCTTGTTTGTCTTCCTTCAAAGGGTCTTAAATGCTTTATTTTTTTTTTTAAGATTTTATTTATTTGTCAGAGAAAGAGAGAGATCGCAGAAGCAAGGGAGCGTGGCAGGCAGAGGGAGAAGCAGGTTCCCTGCTGAGCAAGGAGCCCAATGCAGGACTCAATCCCAGGACCATGAGATCATGACCTGAGCCGAAAGCAGATGCTTAACCGACTGAGCCACCCAGGCATCCCCAAAGGGTCTTGAATGCTTTAAAGGCAATATTTCCCAAACCTGACTGAACACAAGGCAACCTGGAAGCCTTTGAACACAGAGATGCATAAGTTACATGCTAAAAATTTTGTTTTAGTATGTATGGGGTAGAGCCTGGGAATCTTTTATTGTTATTATTGTTTTATTTAAATTCAAAAGCTCATATAGCTTCCCAGCCAGGGAAAAGAAACACAGTCTAAGGGACTGCCAATCTCTTGTAGAAAGAGTATTTCAGTTACTCCAGTAGTCTACCTTAGTATTTCTGTATATTGGGACACTGAGAATTAATCTGGACAAAGCAAAAGTACACTCCAAGAATTTTTCTTTTTTTAAAAGGCTACAAAATTGTAATATATTGACCTGAATCCCAATCCTAGACCTGTCATTCTATTGCTGTAGAACCTTAAGCAAACTTCCATTATTTGGCTCAGTCAGGTTTGGGAAATACTACCTTTAAAGCATTTAAGACCCTTCGGGGACACCTGGGTGGCTCGGTTGGTTAAATATCTGCCTTCGACTCAGATTGAAGGATCCTTATACATCCATATACATCCTTATATGTAAAACTAAGATAAAACAACGATACTGTACTAATATTAATAGTTCACAGGACTGTGAAATAGATAATAGATATAAATGGCTTTGAAAAGCATTTGTCAAATATTTTTATTATTTGGCTTTGATCTCAACCTGATCCTTACTTAACAGTTCATGCCTTTAAGTGCACAGATTACCAAATGGCATGTTTACTATTCTGGCCCATTAATACTCCCTAGCTTTGAGATCTACAGGAGCTGAATATAGTTGGAATATGGCTACATAAAAAGACAACTAGGCCCAAGTTGTTTTGGCCTACATTAAGAAAAGAAATGGTTCTGATCTGCGACTGAACTCTTGCTTAATAAAATTTACAGCCCTTCTGAGAAGAAATTAGACTTTATGATAAAATGCTTAAGCAAATTTGTGACAGAATTGCTATTAAGAACGCCATATGGAAAGTTAGATTTACCCTGTCAGTTTTGAGGGGTCTAATAACCATTACCACTTTTTTCTATATAAATATCTCATTCAAAAATGGCAAGTTTGAGGGCTTCTGGGTGGCTCAGTCCGTTAAGCATCTGCCTTTGGCTTAGGTCATGATCCCAGCGTCCTGAGATCGAGCCCCACATCGGGTTCCCTGCTCAGCAGGTAGTCTGCTTCTCCTTCTGCCCCTCCCGCTGTTCATGCTCTCTCAAATAAATAAAATCTTAAAAAAAAAAAAAAATTGAAGAAACAAAAGAAAATGGCAAGTTTGAAATAAGAATTTGAAATATCCCTTAATCAATTCAAGAAGCTGCTGTAAAAGCAGAAAACAAGTATCAAGATATGATCACAGGATGCCTGGGTGGCTCAGTCAGTTAAGCATCTGACTCTTGATCTCAGCTCAGGTCTGGATCTCAGGGTCTTCAGTTCAAGCTCCATGCCCAGCTTACGTAAAAAATAAATAAATAAATTTTAAAAAGTTAAAGAAGATATGATCACAGTAATTTTAACTATTTAGTTCTGGTTGTCAACATTAATATTAACTGAATAAAAAGAGCAAAAAGAAAGCCCAATATTAGCTATAATTCTTTCATATCAGGAAAAGGGACCAGATAAATACCAAATGTAATGAGCGTGTGTGTGTGTGTGTGTGTGTGTGTGTGTTGGGTGATCAGGCTACAGGAGGGAAGAAAAAGGAGGTCAAGAAACAAAGGGTAAAAATCAAATGCTTAATTTTCTAACATTTAACCATGGTCTTCACAGTTCCTTTAAAGATCCAAAATTAAGCAGTCAAACATTATACTAAACAGTAGGCAGACTATAGGCTTAACTTTCATAAAAAGTTAAGATTAGTTAGCTCCGTATTAATTCAACATGAAACCAAAGCAAGCTAACACGTGACATAGTAGGAATTATAGAGCAAGTTAAGAGGGAAAATCCTTATTTAAAGGAAGAAAATACCAGATAAGGTAACATTCTAAGTTTATATCCAACCTTGTTCCAAATGGTATTCAAGATGACTAGATTGGCAATTAATTCCAATTTGGTAGTGGCCTAAATTATGGATAATCCAAATCATTAGAAGCAACTCTTTTTTTTTTAGTATATGTGCTGCCGAAGCGAGCACTAGAAGCAACTCTTTAATAGAAAAATCTTGATTCTGGAACCGGAAAGGCACAGGGAGTAACAGAAGATAGGATGCTGAAATCGAAGTCCTATGGAGAGAGGTGGATTTAGCCTAAATTCCCTTACCTTTGATCAGAACTAGGATGAAGCAATTCTCTACAAAGATCAACTTAATTAAAACGTCTTTAGAAACTTCAGGGATGTTTTTATTTTTATCTTAAACGTTATTTAGCAAAAACTTAGTTATCAGAACCATTAGTCAAAGGCTGGCATTATAAATTAAGAACATTTCGTCAAGTCCATCTTTTTGGCATACAGCACCCAGAACAAACTCACTTTACATTACACACCACAGCACCATTTTAAGGACAGTCTCCACCATTCACAAAATCCATGCACATGCACAGAAAAACCATTTGAAGCATCACCTTTAGATAGCAGATTAACAGCCCAAACTGCGCCATAAGACTGCATCTTAAAGTTCCCTTTGACCAGTTACTGAGCTCGGGTCCTGATGTTAATCTTCATTTTTAGTAAGCAGATTAGAAAGGAAGAGATTTATTAAGTGAGAGAATGACATGCAGAAAAGAGTGAATGCCAGTGAAACAGAACAGAAGCAAGTTTAGAATTCTAAAAACATAATGCATTTAAATTCCTGCCTGGTTTCATAGAAACAACGAACATCTGAGAATCTAGATGAAAAGAAAAACAGGAAAATGCTTTAAACCAGAGCACACTTCATTTTTCTTAAGAATGTCTGGGTGATGATATTCTTTCCCAAAATTATAAAAATTAGTATGAAGAGAAGGTAAAAACTAATGGAGAGGTTCTTTTTTGTTTTTAATATTTTATTTATTTATTTGACAGAGAGAGACAAAGTGAGGGAACACAAGGAGGGGGAGTGGGAGCGGGAGAGGGAGAAGCAGGCTTCCTGCTGAGCAGGGAGCCCGAGGCGAGGCTTGATCCCAGGACCCTGGGATCATGACCTGAGCTGAAGGCAGACGCTTAACGACTGAGCCACCCAGAGCCCCTAATGGAGAGGTTCTAAAACTTCTTCATTCTTTCTTGGTGATTACAGATTTCTCCTAGATATTTCTGTTATATGTCTCGTTTGCATTTAACTTAAAAAAAAAAAAAAATCTTTTTACATGTCTAACTCTCCCATCAGCCAACAAGTTTCTTAAGGATATTCAATCAACAAGTATTTACTGAACACCTACTATGTCTCAGGTACCATGTCAGGCACAAAAAAAATAAAGAGTAATGACAAATGAAACAGTGCCGGAGCTACGCCTTACTAATCTTTGTATCTCCAGTGAGGAGGGCGGAGGGGGAACTCAAATGTTGACTAAAATATAATTCAACATTTATTTTAACAATCAGAGCTGAATTTTTACATCTCAACATAACATAAGACTTGAGTAGTAGAAAATCTGTAGTACCAATTTTGAACTTCTCTAGTAAGTGGTCCAGAAATACCAATTTGTCTTCAAACTATGTATTTGACATTTTAAGTACACACTGAAGAGAGGCAAGTTCAGAGAGAGGAATACCTTGTCTGAGAATAGTTAAACTGGGACACCAGAGAGTTTACTATTCTGAGACTTCCCATTTTAAGTCTGCTTCCTTTTAAACTCTTGTTAATTAGTTTAACAATTAGAATGACAACTTAGGGCGCCTGGCTGGCTCAGTTGGCTAAGCGACTGCCTTCGGCTCAGGTCATGATCCTGGAGTCCCTGGATCGAGTCCCGCATCGGGCTCCCTGCTCGGCAGGGAGTCTGCTTCTCCCTCTGACCCTCCCCCCTCTCGTGCTCTCTCTCATTCTCTCTTTCTCAAATAAATAAATAAAATCTTTAAAAAAAAAAAAAGAATGACAACTTAACAAAGTTACCGTCAAAGATAATGACACCTATTCACAATTTTAAAGTTTAATCCTGGTAGTCTGTTTAAATTCTGGTAGTTCTTGGGGCGCCTGGGTGGCTCAGTTGGTTAAGCGACTGCCTTCAGCTCAGGTCATGATCCCAGGGTCCTGGGATCGAGTCCCGCATCGGGCTCCCTGCTCTGCGGGGAGCCTGCTTCTCCCTCTCCCACTCCCCCTGCTTCTGTTCCCTCTCTCGCTGTGTCTCTCTCTGTCAAATAAATAAATAAATAAAATCTTTAATAAATAAATAAATAAATAAATTCTGGTAGTTCTTTAAAAAGAATTAGCTTAAGTTAAAATTCTCTTCTAATACAGGGTTCTATTAAGTAAAGCTATTTTCATGTCTGTTTCATTTGCTGACCTGGCTTCAATGAATACTACCGAACAAAAAAAATCTCAAAGAACAAATCTACTCAAGACATTTTCTATATAGCAATACATCTAACAACAGCAACAACAAAAGGTTCATTCTTTTCCTGCCAAAGTCAAGCAGTGTAGCTATATAGTTAAAAACTGAGACTCTGCCTGGTTTTGAATCTCAGCTCTTCCATTTCTTTGTGCCTCTGTTTCCCCATATGTAAAATGGTGATAAGAAAAGAGTCTAACTCATATTAAGGTTACTGTTAGGAATAAATTTAAAGTGCTCAGAATAATAAGAGCCTAAATTAACATATAGGCCCACAAATTTCATCCAAACCCTTGGATGTGAGACATTTTGATCAGTACCATATAATCAATAAATACATGATTATTTCTGTAGTGAAACAAATTAACATTTACACTAAGTGGGATAAAGATTATAAATAGCTTCAGTTCATGTTACATTTTATGGCCTAATTAATGAGTTGTGGCTCATCATGGGGAAAAAAAAAAACCCAAACCTAAATCCTTGGTTTTCAGAGTTTTTCAGATTTCTAGTGGCAGAATAAGAGATTGTGGACCTGGGTTTTTATTACTACCAGAATTAATACTAGCCTTATATGATCCTGCATCTGCATTTGAGAAGCTCATGTTATGGCTATTTATACAATAAGCCTAACTAAAACCCAGATTAGCAGATAAAATTAGAAAGGTCAAGACAATAGCAGGAATAACAGTAGACAGAGCTGAGGACAAGGATACCATAGAGGCCAAAAAGTCTATGTTATAAAGAAGAGATAGACGCCAAGGAAGGCAATTAATATACAACATCTTTAAACTGCAATATCACTCTTCTCTCCAGGGAACAACTGTTCTCTTATAGGAACCCCCTGATTCCATCTGCTAAGAAGTACCTTCTCTGGGCCAACTGAGAAAGGGTTCTTCTAAGGTGAGAGGCTGCAAGCTGCCTCAGGACCATACTCTACCTTCTCTCTCACCAGTGTCCCAGAAAATCCTGCCTATGCTTGGCTGGGATATACAAAATGAAATAGTAATACTTAACTAATAATTAATACTTCTGTAGTTCCATTTCCCACTTTCTAAGATATTAGACCATCTTAGGATTCACTGCTTTTCCCTGATGGACAAGTCATATTTAAATTTATTTTATTTTTATTTTTTTTAAAGATTTTTATTTATTTATTTGACAGAGAGAGAGACAGCGAGAGAGGGAACACAAGCAGGGGAAGTGGTAGTGGAAGAGGGAGAAGCAGGCTTCCTGCCGAGCAGGGTGCCTGATGCGGGGCTCGATCTCAGGACCCTGGGATCATGACCTGAGCTAAAGGCAGACACTTAAAGACTGAGCCACCCAGGCGCCCCAAGTCATATTTAAATTTAAAGTCATTATTTAAATATGCACTTTTAGAGAGTCAACCAGGTCTAAACAGGCCAACAGATTTGTCCTAGAATAGAAAGCCAATGGACAACACTAGGAAGAATACTGTCAAATTTTAACTTGTTATGCTCCAAATAAACACCAAAGTTGACTAATAAGCAACTTAACTCTATTTTCTCTTGTAGAGAGATGGCACAGAGAATGCTGTCACATGAAAACACCTATCTAAAAGTATGACAATATAACAAAAGTTCCTCCATTCCTAACTCCTTGAGAAGTAAAAATGCTGAGAATATGTAAACCCTTGTATCCCACTCTTGGTTTACCATACCAGCTGAGACAACTAGATGAAATGCTAATGTTTATGAAACTCTTCTCAAATGAATGCTCTCAGCAGTAAGGATGGTCATTCAATTTCCAGATGTTGTCATTTCAACTAAGGGGAAAGTTCAAAGTTTTTGTTCTGTTAATAACAGACAGAAGGGAAGATAATGGTTAACTGCCTCAGCCCAAACCTTCTCATGGTCGAAATACATAAAATATTTGTCAACATGGGGTGCCTGGATGGCTCCATCGTTAAGCATCTGCCTTCAGCTCAGGTCATGATCCCAGGCTCCTGGGATGGAGCCCTGCATCAGGCTCCCTGCTTGGCGGGAAGCCTGCTTCTCCCTCTCCCACTCCCCCTACTTGTGTTCCCTTTCTCGCTGTGTCTCTATCAAATAAATAAATAAAATATATAAAAAAAAATTTGTCAACAACATGGACTTTGGTTTACCTAAGAGTACGCAGGGAATTTAAATATTCATAATGAAGTCACCAAAAAGAATGAATCTCTTCTGTCAACCATAATTTTATACACTATACACAAAAAGTTTGAAGACTTTTCATCTCCTAGTTTAATACAAACTTCAAATTTTCAGAGACTTCTTTGATTTTCCCTTGTTTGCGTTTGACAATCAGTTGCTTTAAAATAAATTTCCTTGGGGCGCCTGGGTGGCTCAGTCGGTAAGCATCTGCCTTCGGCTCAGGTCATGATCTCAGGGTCCTGGGATCGAGCCCCGCGTCGGGCTCCCTGATCAGTGGGGAGCCTGCTTCTCCCTCTCCCACTCCCCCTGCTTCTGTTCCCTCTCTCGCTGTGTCTCTCTCTGTCAAATAAATAAATCTTTTAAAAAAATAAATAAATAAAATAAAATAAATTTCCTTGACTTATACTTTTTTCTCTAATCTCAATAATAAGGCCTCACCTCACAGGCCTAGATTACAAAAGGTTCCTAACTAGTACAGTTATGTACTCTACTGCAATCCATCTACCCCTTAGCCCGCCTACTTATGTCTTATTTTTCACTTCTCAACTATATGAATCATGCAGTTCAGTTAAGTCAAGCTCCTCTATAATTTGTTTACATTAGGAAATGCCCCCCTAGTTCTTCCACATCCATCCAAATCCTTCTAATCACTGAGTTCAACGCAAGTGCTCTCTCTCCTGTAATATTTTTCCAAACCAAACTTTATCAGTTCTGTTCCCTTATCCTCAGTTGACATATGATCTAGCATTAGATTTATACATTCTACTTTTTTGCCATTTTTCCTCATATATCCAACCACATGGTAGGTCTTTCGAAGATAGGATCCAAGTCCTTTCCTCCCTCGGCCATTCTTCATGTGCCTACCACAGAATATGTATTTTTTTAATATTCTTTGTTTGAAAGGAAAAGACACTCATTCCATCCTGCTCTGTATTATCCAGATGTATATTTCCTATATTATATTTCATGTATAATTAAAAAATGAAATTGGGACTTGATCCAAGGACTGACCAAATGGAAGCCATGGCTTTTGGTGAACATGCCCATTTACATGAAAAACTTGATCTGCCCAAAGGAAAAACAGCTTAAATTTTTCTAACAAAGTTCCTTATTTAGGCCCAGTTACACTTCTGACCTTCCTGGAGGGTGGAATGTTCTCACTTTAGTTTTAAAAAGGTCTTGATTTCTCAACTCACCTATTACATGGGCAGACGCAGAGGCCACAGCACTTGTTGAGTTCCGTTAAAGTCTTCTCTGCCTCTTTCATGTCTTTATTTATCTGGTCCATGCCTTCTTCTATGCGGTTTAGTTGTTCTAAGAATAGGTTGTGGAAGTGACATTTCGTGTTATATTCACAGTGCCAGTGAGAAGATACTATTATTATGGAACAGCAAACTTTAACTCTGAATCCACCAGTAATCCATCCCAGTGACTGTATCAGTGCCAGAAAGTACTACATAGTGTCCAACATGAAAACAATCTTTCACAAACTGATCCTGAGGCACCTGGCTTCTTATTGTGGGAAGATCTGTTCTAAAGAGATCTGTATAATAGGAGCATGTGAGGGCTTATTTAGAGATCACCCTTGCAACCAAATTAAGTGTACTTTGACCAGACTGTATCCCCAGCATTTCTCTCTCCGAGGAAGTTCAAAACTTGAAGGCTATCATAAGTCTAATCAAATCTAGGCCGGATTGCTCAGGGGCAACTCAAATGGAATGTTTCCAAGCTCACCTGAATGTAAACCTGTTTAAGGACTTAAGCTTCATTTCTGAAAATGATGCTAGAATATCATAGTATCTAATGTACATATGACAAATACACACAGTAAGTCCTGCTGCCTGACAAATACTTGGTATATAATTGGGCATTGTTGCTCCCACCTCAAATAGGCAATGAACATGATATAATTCAAATCAGAAAAAAGAAGTAAACGTATCACTCTTATCTTACATAGGGAAGGCACTCCCAAGGCTTAATTTTAGACATGGCTGATTTGGAAGGGCTTTCTGTCGTCGTTACGTCAAATCAAGAGTTTCTGCCAATGCCTGCAACTCACCCCCTTGTTCATCCAGCATAGTGATAGTCTTGATTCCTGCATCCTGAGACTAAAAGAGAAAAAAGCTGATAGCACTACAAAACAATACAAAAGCAACAGAAACAAAGCCTGTAAGGCCTAAGAGCAAGAGAGAATCATTTAGAAACCTAAGTTCTCAGAGGATGAGAGTTACAGAGAAAACTAATATCCCAAAGCAACAAACTTTAACATATTAAACACCCCCATATAATTAAGTCACAAATTCATGGTGACTTGATCTTCCCTGTCATATTCTAATAGTGTCAATGGGAAAAACAAAAAAGGCCCATCACTGCATGGTTTGACAAGTTCAGCAACTGCTGGTTTCAAATAATAAAGCTCACTGATAACATATACTTCTGACTCTTAACACAAATTCCAGCTTGTGCTATTCAAGATCCCTCTTATACAATTTTTGTACTTAATGATTAAACACTGTCTTACCTCAAGAGCTAAACCCAGGATTCTCCTTGTACTTTCCAGAGACTAGGGAAAAACACAGGCTTTTAGTATTCTAAAATATGTAGTCAAAAAAAAAAAAAAAAATCTGATCACATAGTCATGATGCTACTCTATTTTTAATTGCCAGCCCAGCCATCCCTCCCCTCTTTAAAACAAAAACAAAAAAAGAAAGTTGATCACTGTAATTTAGTTATTTTCTTCCTACCAGCTGCTCCTTAAGAGAAAATTTGGAGGGTAAAGTTAATGGTATTTATAAAAGTTTAATGTAAGCAGAAAGCTAGGTATGTTACACAGATGTTTCCAATTCCTCAAATCTAGAGTATCTGTTGTAACTGTGTTTATTAAACAATGACTTAAAAAAAATCATACAAGCTGCTTTCGCTTACTTAGTTTTTGGTGAGCTGACAAACTAAGGGGCCGGCAATGGCACTCTGAGGCAAATGCATTCTTAGACATAAAGGGACAGGGAGGAGGCCAAAATGGACGTCTAAGAAGGTCCTCTCAATCCTTCCACTGTGAAAACTCAGAGAATTACTTATTCGAAGTAAAATGTTTACCTCATCAGTAACCTGGTGGGCTCTCAGCTGAATTTCTTCTGATGACAGATTATCCATGATGAATTAAAACTTTTGATAAGCACCGAAAGTGAAACGTGGATATTCTGTAAGAATAAGGGCACAAAAGGGTTTGTTTGAACAGAGTGTGGATTTATGGAATTCAGGATATTTATCTGGAAAACAGGATAAAAAAGCCTATCTATATCGTTAGCTAACTAGCTAGCTATCACAGGTGAAGAAATTAAGGCCAAGAAAGGATAAATGGATGGTTAAATGCTAGTTAGTACCAGAGGTGAACCTGAAACTCAGGTTTCAGGACTTCTAATGAAGTGCTGTTTCAGAGAGAAAGTGGTCTCTCTACTCTGAGGAGCACGAACTAGAAGACAAGCTTTAAGAGATTATTAAAATGAATTCTTGGTTGTACAATGTTTTTCATACATTATTTGAATATAGAAAAGCAATGAGGTGAAGAGGTCTAAGTCAGGTTGTATTCCATTAATAAAGTAACAAAATTCAAAGTCGTGTGCCTGAACAACATAGGAGACATTCCAGACATGGGCCAGTTGTCCAGGCTACTCATTGGAGAAAATGAAATATTTTCATTCTTAACAAGAAAAGGATAATGTTGACACAGAACTCAGAAAAAAACCCTGAAATTTTTCATAATGGACTTTCCCTTTCCAATTATTTTGTATTTTAGTGAAGTTTTAGTGAAGTCCCTAAGAAACTATAATTATTCTCCTACACATAGTAACTCATAACTCAGAGAAGATTCATGGACATTCAAACTAAAACACTACACATTTAGAAGGTGTTATTCAGGACTACCGTTGTGTATTCCTCTTTGAAAAGTCATATGAAGTAATAAGTACTGTGTGACACTCTAGGTTGCTTTCTTTTCATTACATTTGCTAGCTTTTTATTACTTTTTTTTGTATTACATTTTTTATTTTTTTTTATTTTTTTATTTTATTTTATTTTTTATTTATTTGACAGAGAGAGAGATAGCGAGAGCAGGAACACAAGCAGGGGGAGTGGGAGAGGGAGAAGCAGGCTTCCCACGGAGCAGGGAGCCTGATGTGGGGCTCGATCCCAGGATCCTGGGATCATGACCTGAGCCGAAGGCAGACGCTTAACGACTGAGCCACCCGTGCGCCCCTGTATTACATTTTTTAAAAACTGATTTTATCAAGTTCTTTGTCAGTGACACAGCTAAAGTCTGGTTTACATTCTGAATTTACCCTCAGGAAACACCTGGCATCTAGTGGGTAGGGGCCAGGGATGCTGCTAAATATACTATAATTCTTCCCAGGACAGCCCTTCACAACAAAGGATTATCTGACCCCAAATGTCAAAATGCTGAGGTTGAGAAACCCTGCCATGGAGTAAACTTACTGACCAGTAGGGAACCTAGTTAACCAGGAATATACTAGACTAAACCCTTGGAAGGCAGAGATTTTGTTCTATCTTTTTATCTCTAACACCTAATAGGATCTGACAGTTGGTACTCCAGCAAATGTGTGCTGAATGAACGAACAAATAAGTAGAAAAATAAGGGTATTCTCAAAATATTTAAGTGGATCTTAGAAACAAAGCTACATGTACCAGCAGCAGAAAGCCTGCAAATACCCACTAGAAACACAAAGCAAAAATTGCCATTACATACATATAATCTGGAATGGCCTGCTGGTCACACACAAATCTTTTTAGTCACATCCATAGCTAACCATCACTTTTAGTAGAATCATCATCGATAAAGCAAAAAGCAACAATATTAGATTCTCAGTACAAAAAGGCATTGCATTTAGAGGTCTGTTTATTAACTCTACTGCCATGGCTGTTTTAGGTTTAATTAAGATTTTGAACATTTATTAAAGTTATTAATGCTCATGAAGAAAATTATTAATTACTATTATTAATAAAAAAGTATTACTACAAAAAGTTGCAAATTTAATTTAATATCTTGCTTGCCATTGTAGGACTCTGGCTCTGGCAAAAGGTTCATACACAAAGCTATAAAATCAAGATATAAAGGTCTTTCTTGAATTAAGAACTGATCATTCATTAGATAGAAGCATAAATAGAACCACATGATTTATTCCTTTGCTAATCATTTGAGCCATTAGATTTATCATAGATCTGTTCATGCTACAGTTTCTCTTGTTAGTATTTCATAGTTACAATTATGAAAAATTGTTTTTGTAACCTCTCACCTCCAGATTTCTGTATACCTTTTCTTTCTGTAATACCCCAGGTAACTATGCTTCTCCATTACTTTCAGAGCCCCAACAACATACTTATAAAAGCCTGCCCTTCCCAGCATGCTCCAGTTGTCTATACCTCCTCAATGCCCAACAGAGCAGAAAGTGGGGAGAAAAGTAATACATGCTAATCAAGTAATGCCTGGAAGTGTCAGGTTTTCCAATATGGTATCCTGTGGGTAGAAGACATTTTGGGCATAAGGATGCCCAGATCTCTCAAATTGTATAATTTTATAATTCTACTCCTGGACCTAATTCCTGCTAGGTACAAGTCAGTATTTGCTATCTTCCCGTCCTAGTGAAAATGAGCAAAAACTTCTCATAGATTCAAAGAGAGGCTTGAATATAAAACTGACCTCTGTCAAACAAGAAGATTCCAAGAGTCCTACCTTCTAATGATAAGAAGGAAGAAAGGAAGGAAGGAAAGAAGGAAGGAAGGAAGGAGAAAGAGAAAGAGAAAGAGAAAGAAAGAAAAGAAAAGAAGGCAGATACAGCTGGGAGGTGTGTATGAAGAATCAGTCCTGGCATGGCCATGGGCTCATTTCAAGGGACACACCCACTGGTGAACTCAAAGTGCTGCCTAGTACTTCCTTTTTTCTCTCTTGAGCAGATGGCACAAGACAAGAAACAGACTGTAAAGTTCTCACATACCTGACAAGCTGACATCAGAACACAGCTGCCTAAGACCTCTACTCTGGATTCTGGAGGGTGTTGAACACATGGTTACAGTAAATGGGAGCAAGAGAGACAAAGCAGAACTGTAAGGGGGAAGGACAAAGCTAACAATACTCCCCAGGCTGTTATTAGCCTTTACAAAACTGCTCAGAAGTGTCGGGCAGGGTGCAACCTAGAATTAGCTAGCTTTACTCATATTTATTATTTTCTCCAGAAGTTTTTCTTATAAAGTCAGGGAAAGGCTATCCAGAATGTTGTAGTAAAGAGAATTAGAGGTGGGACAGGGGAAGGAAAACAAAATGTCATTTGACGCAAATATCCCATTAACTTACTGTTCTTAGATATAACCTAATAGATTAAATATCTGTGTCATTCTTTCAATGCTCCCAGAATCTAATATACTATGTTAATTGTGAGAACAGTATATGCTCCTTTTGAGAGGTAACTGCAATATTTTTCCCAATGCTTTTACAACATATCTTCCTTACTATGGTTCATTTGGGCTTTCTAGAAGACTCCAAGTTTACCTTAATTTCTTGTTATAAACTTTGGGGGGAGTGGGGAAGAAGAAATATTCAATGAGTACCTACTATGTGTCATATACCCTATTAAGTACTTATATACATCATTATCTTTATTATACCAGTTTATAGATGGGGGAATTAAGGGTCCAGTAAGTAATTTGCCCAAGGTGACTGAGTCAGTAAAGAGCAGATTTATCATCAAGTTTGGATATTCTGAAACCAAAAATAGCTCATGGTTTAGTAACTAGTCTTAACTGTTGGATGCATCTTCCCTTAACAAATATCAGATGACAAGAACTGCTGAATATTGGAAAATAGACTAAGCACCCTACCTGACAGCTCATTTCAAAATTTAAGATGCCTTTTTTTTTTAAGATTTATTTATTTATTTGGGGGAGGAGGGGCAGAGGGAGAGGGAGAGAGAATCTCAAGCAGACTCCCCGCTGAGCGTGGAGCCCAATGTGGGGCTCAATCTCACAACCCTGAGATCATGACCAGAGCCAAAATCAAGAGTCAAATGCTTATGGGGTACCTGGGTGGCTCAGTTGTTAAGCGTCTGCCTTCAACTCAGGTCATGATCCCAGGGTCCTGGGATCCAGCCCCGCACTGGGCTCCGTGCTCCGCGGGAAGCCTGCTTTTCCCTCTCCCTTGTTCCGTCTCTTGCTGTGTCTCTGTCAAATAAATAAAATCTTTAAAAAAAAGAAGTCAGTCGCTTAAGCAACTGAGCTGACAAGCTGACGTGCCCCTGAGATGCCTTTTTTCTTTTTAAAGATTTTTTTTTTTAAGATTTATTTATTTGTCAGAGAGAGAGAGAGAGAAAGCACAAGCAGGGGGAGCAGCAGGCTCCCCACTGAGCAAGGAGCCCAATGCGGGACTCAATCCCAGGACTCTGGGATCATGACCTGAGCCAAAGGCAGATGCTTAACGAACTGAGCCACCCAGGTCTCCCCCTAAGATGCCTTCTATAATAAAACCATAAAAACTCTTCAACAGATTCAAAGACAGTTAAATTAAAGGAAGAACTGGGGTACCTGGCTGGCTCATTTAGTAGAGCAATGGACTCTAGATCTCAGGGTTGTGAGTTCAAGTCCCACACTGGGTGTAGAGATTACTTAAAAATAAAATCTTAAAAAAATAATTAAAGGAAGAACTACACAGACAAGAGTAATCATGGTTTTCAGCTGTTTTATTTTTTTCCAGCTGTTTTAAAATAATTTAGAATCTGAAATTATTTAAGGGCAGTTGGCTTGCTCAGCCCGTACAGCATGCGACTCTTGATCTTGGGGTTGTGAGTTCAAGTCCTATGTTGGGTATAGAGATTACTTAAATGAACAAAAAATACAAAAAGAAATTGCTTTCCTAGGCAACTAAGCAAAAAAAAAAAAAAGAATATCTTGTAGAATCTGAAATTATCTAAATTTAGAAAATGAAACTAATACTACTGGGAAGAAGGAATACAAAGAAAAAGGCCTTGGAACTGAATCAACAGGAGATCCATGTTTTCACTGATAAAAATGAAGATATGTAAGGAATAAAAGAAACAGCACTTTAAATCACCACCAATTCCAGTGTCTTGCCTAGACCAACATAGGAGTGATTTTATAAAATAATTCATTTTATACTGGAAAGCAAAGATTTTGCATTAAAATATTCTACTAAGTTAGCTTCATGACTTATTCCTTCTCTTAAAATTAATCCTAATTTAAAAAATTAATCCTAATCCTAAAATGCTCTACAAATTACACCCATATAGTTTATTACTGTAGGATAAAAATTTGTGACTCTCCTTGATATATTTTGGTTGGACTTTCATGGTAATCAGTGTACTGACAGCAAGTGCAAATTTCTGTTCATAGCAGGCTAGCATAGTGGTCATTAGCAGGAACTCCAGCATTCAAATTCTGACCCCAAAATGTATTGGTTGTCTGACCTCAGGCGAGTTAGCTAAATCCACTAAGACTCAGTTTCTACATTTGTAAAATAGAGATAACAGGCCCTTTTTGTGAGGATTAAAAAAAGATGATCCATACAAAGTGCTTGTTATTAGTGCCTGATACATGGCTAATATTCTAGTGTCAGCCATTATTTTAATATTATTAGGGAAGCAGAAAGAAATAGGCAAAAGAAAAGCAAAACAAAAATGTTAAGTATATGTGACATTAATGTAAATGATACTAAATATTAATTGTTCCATCTGTAAGGCTAAATTTAAATATTAGAGTTGATAATACTGTGTGAGCTACACATCTGACCTATTTTCATGCCAGCCATGAGTCTGCCCATGTCAAGACAGATATTAAACAGGTTTAAATCAAACCATTTCCGGTTGATAGGTACTTTAATCTAGACAAATATATATATATAGCTTTGCATGTCTAAAAAATTAAAGACTGCCCCAAAATGTGTTTTTTTTCCCCCTGGCTAAGGCTTAGCAAACACAAAACCACACAAAATGGTGAAGGTCAGTATATGAAGTGAACAAAGTAAGACTTAAAAATAGTCAAATACTTGCTATAAAAAATATGGGTAGAAAAAAGTCTAGAAGGGAATCATTAAAATATAACCAATAGCTATGGTGGTAGAATTAAGAGTGATTTTACTTCTTCTCCCAATTTACCAAATAGTTTGCAATGTAGTTATACTACTTTTAAAATTCATACATTTATTTTTATCATAAAATATGATAGCTTAGGGGCGCCTGGGTAGCTCAGTTAAGCATCTGCCTTCAGCTCAGGTCAGGATCCCACAGTCCTGGGATCCGAACCCTGAGTAGGGCTCCCTGCTGGCGGGGGGGTGGGGGGGGCCTGCTTCTCTCCCTCCCCCTGCCCATTCCCCATTCCCCCCCACAGCTTGTGCTCCCTCTTGCTCCCTCGCTCCCAATCCCTCTCAAATAAATAAATAAAACCTTTAAAAATATATGATAGCTCATGACAACCAAGAAAGCTGATTTATAAGATTGGAGAAAATAAAGACAAGGAATTAATTTTAGACCCCATTTCATAAGCATAATTATGAATTCTTGGCCTCTCTTGAGAGAAATCTTCTGTTGGCATATAGTCACAGTAAATATAAATTTGTAGGAACATTTTCATGCATTAACAGATGATCACCTTTCCAAACCACAAAGGTATGGAAATAATACAGAACAATTGGTCCAAAACATCCTGCTAAGAGATGGTTAGAGCAAAGGCCCTTGCTAAAGTTTGGCTGGGACCTTACTTCATTCACAGTAGATGGCAGAAATAGGTTCTAATGAGTTCTGAATAAGTTCTTAATGCTTTCATGGCAAAATACTAAGAGGTGGATAAAAGAGGGCCCCACAAAGAAGCAGAGAACTTAGCTGGAATAGAGAATTTACAACTCAGTCCTGGAATACAACCAATCTCCTGTCATGGCCCTTCACCTTCAGTGTATTCTCTTTCTCTAACCTTCCTACCAATAATCAACCTCCTCAGGGATTCTAAGAAAATGACTGAAATTAGAAGCCATTTAAAAGGTAACCTGTAGGTCGTGCTTTAAAATAATTCAGAGGTGATATGATAGCTTAGGGGCGCCTGGGTGGCTCAGTTAAGCGTCTGCCTTCAGCTCAGGTCAGGATCCCACAGTCCTGAGATCTGAGCCAGGGTGGGAGTACAGAGGAAACAAGATTGGCCATGACTGTTGAAGCTGGTGAATAATACAGGAAAGTGTCATCATGCTACTTTCTCAACTTTTTATTATGAAAGAATTCAACATATATGACAGTTCTTTAAAATGGCAAGTAACTTTTTAATAGTCGTTACCATTTTGTAAGTCTAAATAATGAGTAAGGGATTGAGAAGAATCACAGGAACAACTACAAGTTAATACTTACAAAGCACTATACACAGAAGGCACTATTTTTTTAAAGATTTATTTATTTGAGAGAGAGAGTGTGTGTGTGTGTGCATGGGGGGGTGCAGCGTGGCAGAGGGAGATGGAGAGAGACTATCTTAAGCAGGCTCCACACCCAGCGCAGAGTCCAAAGCGGGGCTCGATCTCACAACCCTGAGATCATGACCTGAGCCAAATCAAGATAAAAAATCAAAATCAAGAGTCGGATGCTTGGGGTGCCTGGGTGGCTCAGTTGTTAAGCATCTGCCTTCGGCTCAGGTCCTAATCCCAGGGTCCTGGGATCAAGCCCCGCATCGGGCTCCCTGCTCAGCGGGAAGCCTGCTTCTCCCTCTCCCACTCCCCCTGCTCGTGTTCCCTCTCTCGCTGTCTCTCTCTGTCAAAGGAATAAACAAAATCTTTAAAAAAAAAAAAAAAAAGAGTTGGACGCTTAAGCAACTGAGCCACCCGGGCGCCCCCATGCAAGACACTATTCTAAGAAATGAAAAACATACACATACACACACACACACACACACACTCACTCATTTAGTCCTTAAAACACTCTCTTAGTCTGTCCAGCTGCTGTAACAAAAAAACATAGACTTGGTAGCTTATTAACAACAGAAATTTATTTGTCGCATTTCTGGAGGCAAAAGTCTGAGCTCAAGGAGCCAGCATTGGTCACCTTCTCATCAGGGCCCTCTTTCTGGTGCAAAACTGATGCCTTATATGGTGGAAGGGGCGAGGGAGTTCTCTGGAGCCTCTTTTATAAGGCACTAATCACTTCCATGAGGACTCCACCTTCATACCTTAAGCACCTCCCAAAGGTTCCACGTAATACCATCACACCAGGAATTAGGATTTCAACATAGGAATTTTGGTAGGAAGACACAAACATTCAGACCGTAACAAACACTATTTAATTCCACATTTTACAGATGTAGGAACTAAGGAACAGTGAGGTTAAGCAACATTCGCAAGGTCATATAGTAGAGCCAGGTTCAAACCTAGGTAGACTGATCCAGAGTATGTGCTTTCAATGACTATTACATACATTAACAAGAGAAGAAAAGAAAGACACATTATCAAGTCATTCAAATGTATAGCAGCTTTGCCAAGAAAAGTATATATATGAAGTTCCTGCCTTCCCCTTTTCAAGTAGCAAGTCTAACTCCAGTCAGAGTTAGAACAGTAGTTCCCAGTCTTGGCTACACATGATCACCTGGAGGCCCAAGCTGCACCCCGGACTAATTAAATCAGAAACTCTGGGGGTGAGAGCCAGTTGATTTTAAACCTTCCCAGATGACTCCAATGAGTAACCAAGGTTGAAAACCACTGTTTTAGGTGAAAGTTGTTTTTTTGGTTTTGTTTGTTTGGTTTTTTTTTTTTAGGATTTTTATTTATTTGACAGAAAGAGAGCAAGCGAGCACACAAGCAGGGGAAGCGGCAGGCAGAGGGAGAGGGAGAAACAGGCTCCCCTCCAGAGCAAGGAACCTGCTGTGGGACTCGATCCCAGCACCCTGGGATCACGACCCGAGCTGAAGGCAAACGCCCAACTGCAGGCACCCTGTTTTGTTTTGTTTTTTAATGTATAGCCAAGTACTAACTGATGATATCCTACCCCTGTTATAATTCTGGTACCTAACGGAGGAAAAACATACTATTTAACAATGTAGGACAAGAACAACTTAGGTTTCAACAGGTTAAGCAGTGAATTACTACATATGACCCAGCAATTCTATTCCTACGTACATTAGAGAGAAATGAAAACATAGGTCCACATAAAAACTTGTACACAAATGTTTAAAGCAGCATTATT